TCAAAACCAGCCTGGGCAACACAGCAAAATCTAGATCTAGTCTCCTCAAAAAAATAAAACATTTGCTGGGCGTGGTGGTGCATGCCTATACTCCCAGCTTAGGAGGCTGAAGTGAAAGGATCACTTGGGCATGGGAGGCTGAGGCTGCAGTGAGCTATGATTGTACCACTGCACTCCAGCTTTGGTGATATAAGACTCTGTCTTTAAAAAAAAAAAAAAAAAAAAAGGCAAAAGCCGTAAAGCTTTTAAGACTACATACAAGAAAATTTTCATGATCTTGGAGTAGTGAATGACTCTTTTAATACAGAAGATAAAACACCAGACAAAGGAAAGGTCTAAATAGGACATTAAAATTATAAATGTCCATGAAGAATGGAACAATAAGCCATAGAATGGGAGAGTATATATATTCAACACATATAAATTAATAAAGGACTCTAGTATGCTGAATATACAAAGAACTAAAATTATTAAGAAAAAGAAAAGGCAATTAGAACAATAAGCAAAAGACTAGAACGGGCATGTCATAAAATGCTCAACCTCATTTAAACTTAGGAAGAAACCAATTAACACCACACATATATCATTATACAGCAACAATTTGTGAAAACAAACTGGACCAGCCTGGGCAACATAGTCAGACCCTGTCTCTACAAAAAAATACAATAATTAGCCAGGTGTGGTGGCGTGCACCTCTAGTCCCAGCTACTTGGGAGCTAAGGCAGGAGAATTGCTTGAGCTTGGGAGGCTAAGGTTGCATTGAGCCATGTTTGTACCACTGCTCTCCAGCCTGGGCAACAAAGTGAGACCCTCTCAAAGGAAAAAAAAAAAAAAAAAAAAAAAAAAAAACAACAACAACAAAAACAAAAACAATTTAGACTGACCACACCGACTGCAGGTGAAAATCTGGAATACTAGAAACACATACTCTGTTGCTATGAACATTCTTACACTTTAGATTAAAAACTGTTCTTCCAGGACTGTACACTTTTCTCCTATGGAAATATTAATCGGTATAATCACTTTGGGAAATAATAGTCATTATTCTATCCTAATACCCAGCTATTCCTCTTCTGGGCATAAACCTTATACTCTAGGACCCAGCGAAACAAATAAACATGTATAAGAATGTTCTTAGAAGAATTTTATAATAGCATCAAACTGTACACAATCCAAATATCAGTCTGCAGAATAGTGGGATGTTCATAAATACTATCCTATATAAAAATTAAAATTAATGAACTCAATACACACCAAAGCATGGATATAAAAAAATTAACACATGAAAAATATAGCAAAATTTATATAAAGTTCATTAATAAAAACTTATCAATTAAAAATACATAAACTAAATGATATTATTTGAAGATGCATACATAGTTAAGAAAATTCTAAAAAAACACCAAGAAAAGGATTATCACCAAACTCTATTTTGTGATTATCTCTGGGGGAAGAAAGTAGATTGTGACTGGGAGACCGTATATAGGAAATTTTTAAGGGTCTATAAATGATCTTTCTACAATTGAGTTGTGGTTAAGTGGATGTTAACTTTACAACTGCACATATTTCATGTGCATATTTAAACTGTGCATATTTCATATATTTTAACTACGCTTATCTCAATAACCACACACACTGTACACACTATACACACACACTAAACACAGACACACACACACACAGAAACATAGGTTGATTTTTCCATCAAAATTTGAATTGTTATCTTCAGGTAGTAAATTCTTTTGTATCCATTTTTATTTTTAATAATAGGAGTAAATACCTTCTCACAACAGTATAATGAACATGACAGAAAAATTAAGGCACCTTATATTTACAAAATGTCTTTCTGTGCAAAACATGACACTATACTCTTCTTATACATTAACGCGTTAAAGATTAAAATAACTCTAAAAGGTACTTACTATCAGTCACTTTACTGAGGTAATTGCCAGTGTTCAGATAAATAAATATCAAGCTAGTCCAAATCTGAAACTTGAAGATTTCCCACCATTCTATACAAATTCCCACAGCAAACAGTTTACTATCCATCTATTCATCTTCCCCTTACAATATTCTCTGGTATCTGCCTCATGTGATATTCAATTAATTTATTCATTTATTCAACATTCAATCATTTATTTAACAAATATTTATTTAATACCTATTATATTCCGGGTACTGTTTTCATATGGGTTATACAAGGGTGAAAAGAAATGGCAAAGTCTAAGCTTACATTTTGGTTGGTAGTAATAATTAATTTCAGACAGGCAATAAATAATTTCAGACAGTGATCAAATTCTATGAAGAAAATAGAATAAAGTGACAATGACTCAGGGTGGCAGAAGAAACACTTGGGTTGAGATTTGAATGTTCAGTCAGTCATGCAAACTACTGAAGGGGTTCCATGCACAGGGACCAGTAAGCACCAAGGTCCTGGAAGGGAAATGTGCCTTAGTGGACAGAAAGCAGGCAACGCTGCCTAGAATCTCATGTGCAAAAAGAACAGAGGGTGAATTATGAAGGGCCAGGTAAGTTCAAAGCAAAAAGTTTAGATTCCCAGCCTAGATGCAATAGGAAGCTATTTTAAGTTTTTAAGAAAGGAAGGGCCATGGCACAATTTATATTTAAAAAAAAAATTTAGGGGTATATAAAGAAAAGACTGCTTCAGAAGAAGGGAGCTGGCAATGGCAAAAGTGAAAGGAGGAAGACTAGTTGTTATTACAGAAATCCAGGGAGATTAAGGAGATTGAATGTGAGCGGGCAACAATGAAAACAGACATGGACAGTTTCCACATATATGCTGAGGATAGATCAGATCAACTGAGTGCTGACTAATTTGCTGAACAGCTATTTATTCTATACTGTAATGTTATCAGGTACAGTTCCAGGTGCTGGGTATATGAAACTGAATAGGACAGAAAGGGTCCCTGATCTCAAGGAACTTATATATTACATATCCTAATAGGAGAAGCGGAAATTTGATAAAAATATCCTATAAAGTCAGGTAAGAAGCATTATGATGAAAGCTAAAGGAAAGAGAGAGACAGAGGTGGTTATTATTTTAGATAAGTCAGGGAAAGACTTTGCAGAAGAAGTGACATTTAAGCAGACACCTAAAGTGAAGCACAAGCCACACAAATATTTGGGAGTAAAGTATTATAGGTACAGGCAACTGCAAGTGAAAAGACGCTAAGGAGGCAATGTGCTTATCTTCTTGTGAGAAGAGCAAAGCCAATGTGGCTAGAGCAGAATGAACAAGGAGTGGAGTGGCACATGAAGCCAAAGAAGTGGCCAGGAGATAGATCACATAAAGCTGTATAGCTTATACATTGAGTTTTAAATTTTAAGTGTGTTAAAAAGCCATGTGAATTGAGAACAGGACAAGGATATCTGATTCACATTTTAAAAGGATCATTCTGACAGCTTTTCTGGAAAATAAACTTCTGAGGGATAATACAAACAGAGATGATGACAGTGCCTTCAACTGCAGTGGTACTAGCAGAGGTGTGAAGTGGGACATATTTTGAATGGATTTGTTAAATTGAATAGGATCTGCTGAATTGAATGTAGAATATGGGGAAAAAAAAAGTGAAGGATGACCTAGGGTTTTGGCTTAAGGAACTGAGGAGCTGAAATAACATTTCTGACATGGAGAAAACTAGGAGAGGAACAGGTTGGAGAACAGGAATCAAAAGCTATTTTTGGTCATGAGATGCCTACTGAATGTTCAAGTGGAAATGTAAAGTAGGTAAAAGGCTAGAGCTCAGAGAAGAAGTTCAAGTCAGTGAGAGCTGGTTTTTGTTTGTTTTTTGAGACAGAGTCTAGTTCTGTCGCCAGGCTGGAGTGCAGTAGCGCGACCTCGGCTCACTGCAATCTCTGCCTCCTGGGTTCAAGAAATTCTACTGCCTCAGCCTCCCAAGTAGCTGGGACTACAGGTGCGCGCCACCATGCCCAGATAATTTTTGTATTTTTTTTTTTTTTTAGTAGAGATGGGGTTTCACCATGTTGGCCAGGATGGTCTTGATCTCTTGACCTCATGATCCACCTGCCTTGGCCTTCCAAAGTGCTGGGATTAAAGGCGTGAGCCACTACACCCGGACTGTTTTTGAAATATACCAATGACTCACAGATAATTCTCAAGAATAAAATTTCTCCCATACTTGAGAATTTATACAGACTCAATTCTTAGGCATACTCTAAGTAGGTTCAAATAAATAAAACAGGTTCAAATTTATTCCTGCTATGGGTATACTCCAGTAACACAATTTGCCAGTATACATTAATAAGAGATAAACTCTAATCATAACATTCTACATGTTCTTGGCTTCAGATTAAAATAACTAATTAATTTTATACTTTTTTACAATTTTAAAAATTTCTATTAGAGGCAGGGTCTCACTTTGTCATCCAAGCTGGATTGCCGTGATGCAATCATAGCTCACTATAGCCTCAAATTTCTAGGCTCCTGCAATCCTCCTCTCTTATCCTCCTAAGTAGCTGGGACTACAGGCAGGAGCCAAGGCCTCAACCTAATATGCTCCAAAATTAATACAAATTTTATTAGAAAAAAGAAAGGTTTTGTAAGTCATAGGTAAAGGAACAATGAATCAGATCTATTTTTCTTATAGCTTCCTTACTCTTCCCTTCCCTCTTTTATTCTTTATCACCTAAAAGCTTGGTCACAAGTAAGTTCAAAAAGTTAGATAAAATATGGCTGTGAAAGTAGAAAATACAGAAAAATATTTAAGATGCTCACAGTAATTTTTAGAGTAAAGTTGGTTAAGCACTAGTTCATGCTCCACTTCTCCTTGAAAGGCCAACCAGTATTTTACTAACTATACTGGAAAACACACCTACTTGCAATTTTAATTAATCATTATAATTCAAAAACAGGAATACATAACTGACCAGGCCCTTTTGAAAATATAAGTACAAATCTTGGGGATATATGTTTTGAAGCTAGCCTCAATTCACAGACTGATAAATCTACTGTCCAAAAGTCACAAGGTTTATATCTTTATTGGTTCATCTTATAATTAAGTCAACATGGAAGAAATATGTACTTTTTGGATTAAACAAAATGTTTTGATAAAAATGGGAAATGTGTATATAAAAGCTGGAAAATTCATGTCCCCTGAAACTTGGTTTCCACCAGATGAATTTCAAATTCAGATAGTAAATACACATGAAGAAATAATCTAATGAATTCTATTCATCCTTTCCCCAAAGTTTTCCTTACAATTAAGATATAGGTATTATTTGTATGCAGAATAAACAAAATGAATTGGAAGATGTTTGGATAAAGAGGGAAGTGAATACTTCAGGAACTATTGTTTGCAGTTTGCAGAATAGGTTAACCTTCTCTAGGAAGAATAATGTCAATATAGCAGCACTATATTCACCAGGATTCCCCAGAGCCAATGTCGGATCATGTGGCAGGAAGCCAAACCTTCTGGCTGCTCACAATATCAATCAGCTTCCCTTTAATCTTCAGGAAGTGTCTCTTGAATTCCAATCCATCACCCTATATTAGAAATAGTATTCAAAAATAATGTCAAAATAAAAACAAAAACAAGATTATGCCCTAAAATCAATCTCTTTTTAGTGGTAATAAGAGACAAACATCCTTACATATATGTCTAGCTAAAATTTCCTTTTAGGCCAGTTTATCAAGACCAAATATCCTGGCAGAGATAATAATTCTGATGTAGTTTCATGCCCATCACTGTTTCTACTGCACTGAGCTCAGAGAGCAGATAAAATGGCATCCTCTCTGTTTCATGTGTTGGTATATCTGGACCTATGTCATTACATTGCATAGGCAGTAGGCTTTGGAAACTAACAATAAGCTATACAACTAAACTGAAATCTTGTCATAACACTATTGCAATAAAACCAACAGATTTAGTTATGAGACGAATTTCATTATACTACGATCTTAATAATTTAATTCCATAGTAAGCATCTGAAAAACAGTATTGCAGCAAATCTCTAATACAAGGAGTACTGCAGCAAATGCTCTAACACAGCAGCTACCCCTCCAACCCCTTTTAGAGACACATACAATCTCTCGGAAAATGGAAAAAATGTTACTTTGGATTTATATATTAAGGGCTATAAAACTATAACTTTAAAATTAATAATTCCTAAAGAAATCACAAATATGAACAAAAAATCTATGCATAATGTATCAATCACAGAAGTATTATAACATGTAAAGGTTTATTATATAATGAAATATTTTTAAACAAATCATAATTTTTATTAAAAGATAAATTAAGAAAAATATTAAAATGCTTCTAAATCTTAAAGGTGATTACTGCTGGGCAGGAAAATTTAGAATTATTTTTATTTTACCATTTTTTGCTTATCTACATTTTTCACAAAAGCATAAACTTTTTTTTTTGAGATAAAGTATCATAATGTTGCCCAGGCTGGAGTCCAATGATGCAATCTCGGCTCACTGCAACCTCCAACTACCGGGTAAAAGCGATTTTCCTGCCTCAGTCTCCCGAGTAGCTGGGATTACAGGTACCCGCCACCATGCCTGGCTAATTTTTTGTATTTTTAGTTTTACTATGTTGGCCAGGCTGGTCTCAAAGTCCTGACCTTGTGATCCACCTGCCTTGGCCTCCCAAAGTGCTGGGATTACAGGTGTGAGCCACCGTGCTTAGCAAAAACTTCTATAATAAGGAAAATGTCGGTTGAAAAAACAATGTTTGGGAAAAATAGATTAACAAAAGCACATGCTCTAAATGAAAAAGTTACATTCTATTTACAAATGCCACATATATACAAACATAATGGCATTTAAAAAGTCACATAGAAATATTTCCATAGAAAAATACTAAAATAAAACATAAAATTACCTTAGAAAGCCGGAAGTCAACCAGTATCTTATCATCCATTTCTAACAAATTCACTTTGAAAATGAGTTTATTGTTTCTCCTATCAGTTGTTGATATAGTAACCTAAAGCAACAAAAATAAGGTTAAGCCATATAGTATACCCACTATGAAGAACAGAATGGAAGTTCTTCCAAATCTACAAATAAAACTACCTGTAAGATCCAGCAAACCCACTATTGAGATGTTATCCAAAGGAAAGGAAATTATATGGAAGAGACCTTTGCATGCCTATTCACAATAGCCAAAATACAGAATTGGCCTAGGTGCCCAACAACAGATGAGAATAGGCCAGGCACCGTGGCTCATGCCTATATTCCAGTACTTTGGGAGGTCAAAGCAGGAAGACCTGTGAGCCCAGGAGTTCAAGACCAGACTGGGCAACATATCAATATCTCATCTCTACTAAAATTCCAAAAAAATTAGCCAAGCATGGTGGTGCATGGCTGTAGGCCCAGCTACTCAGGGAGGCTGAGGCAGAAGGATCACTTGAGCCCAGGAGGTCGAAGCTGCAGTGAGATATGATTGAGCCACTGCACTCCAGCATGAGCTAGAGTGAGATCCTGTCTCCAAAAAACAAAACAAAAAGTCAAGCAAACAGATGAGGATAATATGATATACATACACAATGAAATACTACTCAGCCATATAAAGAAATGAAATCCTGTCATTTGCAGCAACATGGGTGGAACTGGAGGACATTATGTTAACTGAAATAAACCGGGAACAGAAAATTAAACATCACATGTTCTCACTCATATGTGGAAACAAAAAAACAGTTGTAAACAATAACCAAGAGAGTTGGTAGCTGGGTATGGTAGTATGTCCCTGCAGTCCCACCTACTTGGGAGCCCAAGGCAGGAAGGTCACTTGAGCCCAGGAGTTTGAAGCTGTGGTGCACTATAATTGTGCCTATAAATAACCACAACACTCTAGCCTGGGCAACATAGTGAGACTCCATCTAAACAAATGAAAATACGCAGAAGATAGCCGGTGAACTGGTGTGGCTATACTGATACTAGACAAAATAGACTGATGAAAACTGTCAATTTAGCTAGGCATGGTGGTGCACACCAGTAGTCCCCACTACTCAGGAGGATCACTTGAGCCCAGAAGGTCAAGGTCAGCCTCATCAACACAGAGAGAATACATCTCTACAGAAACATTTTTAAAAAGCTGGGTATGTAGTGAACACCTGTAGTCCCAGCTACTTAGGAGGCTGAGGTGGGAGGATCACTTGGGCACAGGAGGCCAAGGTATTAATACACCATATTAATAAAGGGGGAAAAAATCCACGATTATCTCAATAGATGGAGAAAACATCTGAAAAAAATCTAATACTCTTTCATCATAAAAACTAAAACCCCACAGCTAACATCATACTTAATGTGGAAAGACTCAAAACTTTCCCCTAAGATCAAGAACAAGACAAAGATGTCCACTCTCACTATTTCTGCTCAACGTAATGTTGGAAGTCCTATCTAGAACAACTGAACAAGAAAAAGAATTAAAAGGCATCCAGATCACAAGAAAAAAAAGGTAAAACAATTTACTGTTTTAATATATCAAAAATAATCTTCATATATATATAAACCAAAAGAATTTGCAAAAAAAAAAACTACTGGAGTTAATAAATGAGTTTGGCAAATTTTCAGGATACAAGATCAATATACAAAATTTATTTGCAAATATACTAGCAATGAACAATTTGAAAATAAAATTGAAAGAAATTCCATTTACATCAGCATCAGGATTAAAAAAAAGAATAAACAGGATTACATTTAACCTAGGAAGTGCAAGACTTGAACATTGAAAACTATAAAATATTCTTGAAAGAAATTAAAGACCCTAAAAAATTAAAAATGTCCCATGTTATTGGATTGGAAGATTAAGGTTTAGCATCCATAATCTAAAATCTGAAATCTAAAATGTTCCAAACTCCAAAACTATTAGGGTGCTAACATGATGCCATGAATGAAAAACTTCACACCTGATAAGTTTGCCTTCTGATAGTACAATGTACACTTTGTTTCTTGCACAAAATTACTTAAAACATTGTATAAAATTGCCTTCAGGCTATTTGTATAATATATGTACAAAGCATAAATAAAATTCATGCTTCATCTTGAGTCCCATCCACAAGTTATCTCAATGTATATGCAAATATTCCAAATCCAAACGAAGGTAAAATCCACAAAACTTTTTTTCCCAAGGACCTTGAATAAGGAAGACTCAATCTGTACTAAAATGGAAGTATTCCCCAAGTATATCTATAGATTCAATGTAATCTCTTTTAAAATTCCAAATTTTTTTCTTGCAGAAACAAATCAGATGATCCTAAAAGTCAGATAGAAAAACAAAGGGCCACAAATAACCAAAATACCTTGAAAAAAAAAAAAAAACTTGGGCAACTCATACTTTTTTTTTTTTTTTTGAGACAGAGTTTCACTCTTGTTACCCAGGCTGGAGTGCAATGGCGCAATCTCGGCTCACCGCAACCTCCGCCTCCTGGGTTCAGGCAATTCTCCTGCCTCAGCCTCCCGAGTAGCTGGGATCACAGGCATGCGCCACCATGCCCAGCTAATTTTTTGTATTTTAGTAAAGACAGGGTTTCACCATGTTGACCAGGATGGTCTTAATCTCTTGACCTCATGATCCACCCGCCTTGGCCTTCCAAAGTGCAGGGATTATAGGCGTGAGCCACCGTGCCCAGCCAACTCATACTTTCTAATTTCAGAACTCACTACAAAGCTACAGTAAACAAAATAATATGGTAATGGCACAGCACAGACATATAGATGAAACAAAGAACTGAGGCCACAGGGGGAGGAAAAAGAAAAGAAAAAAAAATTGAGTCCAGAAATAAACCTACACATTTATCACCAATTATTTTCAACAAAGGTTCCAAGACTATCCAATTGGAAAAGATGTCTTCAACAAATGGTGCTGTAAAAACTGAATATTCACATACAAACATTTGAATTTGGACCTTAATTCATACCATATACAAATATTAACTCAAAAAGGACAAAGACCTAAATATAAGAGCTAAACTTTAAGACTGTAGTCCCAGCTCCTTAGGAGGCTGGGACATCTAAAAGAAAGCATAAAGTATAAATCTTTATAATCTTATATTAAGTAACAGTTTCTTAAATTTGACACTAAAACATAGGCAACAAAAGAAAAATTATAGATCCACTGGAATTCATCAAAATTTAAAACTTGTGTACATCAAAGGACACTAACAAAAAAACGAAAAGAATGGAGGAATTTTCTCCCACAGAATGGGAGAAAATATTTGCAAATCAGGTATCTGACAAGGTTCCGGTGTCCAGAATGTACAAAGTACTCTAACAACAATAAAAAGAATCCAGTTAAAATATGGACAAAAGATCTGAATAGACACTGTTATAAAGAAATGGTCAATAAGCATATAAGAATATGCTCAAGATCATTAGTCATTAGAGAAATGAAAATCAAAAGCAAAATGAGATAACACTTCACACATACTAGGATTGTTATAGTAGAAAGCGGGGGCAGTAAGTGTTGGCAAGGATGAAGAGAAATTAGAACTCTCATACATTATTGGTGGGAATGTAAAATGGTACAGGTGCTTTGGAAAAATCACTTCACAGTTTCACAAAAAATTAAATGAAGAGTTACCATATGTTCCAACAATTCTACTCCTCCATATATGTCTAAGAAACTGAAAACATATGGTGACACAAAAACTTGTACAAGATTGTTCGTAGCAGTATTATTCATAATGACCAAAAAGTAGAAACAACCCAAATGTCCATCAACGGATGAATGGATAAACAAAATGTAGTACATACACACAATGGAATATTACTCAGCCATAAAAAGGAACAGCCAGGTGCAGTGGCTCACGCCTATAATCCAAGCAACCTTGTGAGGCTGAAGAGGGCAGACTGCCTAAACTCGGGAGTCTGAGACCAGCCTGGACAACACGGTAAAAACCTGTCTTTACTAAAATACAAAAATTAGCCAGGTGTGTGGGAGGTTGAGGCAGGAAAACTGCTTGAACCTGGGAGGCAGAGGGTGCTGTGAGCCAAGATCACCCCACTGCACTCCAACCTAGGCAACAGAGCAAGACTCTGTCTCCAAAATAAAAAGGAATAAAGTACTGATCAATGCCATGAACCTTGAAAACCTTATGCTAAATGAAAGTAGACAGACCTAAAGGACTACATGCTATAAGATTCCATTTATGTAAAATGTTCAAAAAAAGGCAATCCCTAAAGAGAGAAGGTAGATTCCAGGTAGCCTAGGAATGGAGGAATAAAGAATAAGGAGTGACTACTAGGTACAAAGGTTTTTTTTTTGCTTTTTTTTCCCCCCTGTGGATGCAATGTTCTGAAATTAGACAGGGGTGATGATTGTACAACCTTGTGAATATACTAAAAATCACTGCATTAAAAATTTTAAAACGGTTAAAGTCATGATTTTTATATTATGCAAATTTTATCTCTATGAGTCTAACTGAAAAAGAGTGAATCACCTATAGGTGAGAGGAATATCAGGCTGGCCTCAGATTTCTACACAGTAACAGTTTCCCTTTTTAATTTTGAAAACTCAAATCTATAGAAAACTGAAAGAAGAGTACAATAAATAACCATATAGTCTTCACTGGTCTTATCTATCAAGATGTGTGTGCTTGTCTTTATGTAGCTGTTTACCCTTCTTTCTTTTAAAGTTTAAACTGAATGAAGATATCACTTCACTTTAACTTTCCTTCAATATGTTTCTCTTTTGAACAAGGATATACTCCTACAAAACGCAGTATTATCACACCCAAGAAATCTGATGCTAATACAGAAACATTACCTAACATACAGTCCGTATTCAAATTTCCCCAATTGTTCCAACAATATCTGTTATTTTTTTTTTTTTTTCAAATACATGATCTAGTGAAAGATCATGCATTGCACTTAGTTATCAGGAGGCCTCTTTAGTCTCCTTCAATATAAAACAGCTGGCCTATTTGTCTTTCGTGATGTTAACATTTTTCTGAAAAGCTTTAAAGACAGTTTAGAATACCAATATTTATGCTCTAATAATATAAACAATAAAAACTGACAGCTGCAATAATGGGAGATGGGAAAAAGTATGGGACTGCTAATGTATTTGACTTTCAGGGTAGGCAGTCAACTGTTACTGTCTACAGTTTAAGCATATACAATTTTAAAGAAAATAATGATTCCAGCTACCTAATATTTTTAATAACACTAAAAAGGCCTTTTAAGAAATATTATTTCTTAGACCAGGCATAGTGGCTAAAAAAGAAAAAAATATACATTATTTCTTAAGGTAAAGAATATTTTACTAGTTTATTTTTCAAATTAACTAATTACTATATATTTCTAAGTGTGTTTGTTTGAGACAGAATCTCACTCTCACCCAGGCTGGAGTGCAGTGGTGTGATCTCGGCTCAGTGCAACTTCTGTCTTATGGGTTTCAAGTGATTCTCCTGCCTTAGCCTCCCCAGAAGCTGAGATTAGAGGCATGTACCACCATACTGAATAATTTTTGTATTTTTAGTAGAGACAGGGTTTCATCATGTTGGCCAGGCTAGTCTTAAACTCCTAACCTCAGGTGAGCCACCTACCCTGGCCTCCCAAAGAGTTGGGATTACAGGCGGGAGCCACCATGCCCAGCTTGTATTTTAAAAATATACAAATGATAGTTTTTACTTGAATATTTAATTTTTTTTTTTGAGACAGTCTCACTCTTATTACCCAGGCTGGAGTACAATGGCATGATCTCGGCTCACCACAACCTCCTCCTCCCAGGTTCAAGTGATTCTCTTGCCCTAGCCTTCCAAGTAGCTGGGATTATAGGCATGTGCCACCACATCCGGCTAATTTTTTATATTTTTAGTAGAGATGGGGATTCTCCATGTTGGTTAGGCTGGTCTCGAACCAGGTGATCCACCTGCCTCGGCCTCCCAGTCTCCAAAGTGCTGGGATTACAGGCATGAGCCACTGTGCCCGGCCTATTTAAATTTTTCTTCAGGAAAAGTTATAATGAAAATCAATGAAACACACCTGATTCATACAACTCTTCTTCCACTGATAGCCCAACTTCTCACAAGTCTCTTTCAGGCTTTGATAAGATTTGTCTGCATCCAATTTGGTAAAGAATCGTGTCATTCTTTTGACCAACCGCTGCCAGGGGTTCTATATATCAAACAGAAGACAACTAAATAAATCCATTATGACTAAAGACAGTAAGATCATAGCCATTTAGTCTGACTTAAAATTCTTTTGCATTAAGGATTCCCTCCCCTTTCTTCTTTAACCAAAAAAAAAAACCATGTGATTTAAAAGTTATATATCTTAAGATTTTCACAATAAAAAGGGACTTTAAGACAATAACAAATAAAGAGCTGCCATTATTTATTTAAAAAATTAAATTCCCTCACCTGTGAAGATCCTGGGGTGCCAAGTAACTGACTATTCAGAAGCATATGATCAGGACATGTGGGCTGGGAAAAGCTGATCCCTTGTACCAATTTATCAATGTATGAGGGACTGGTATCCCATAAGGAATGACCTGTACGTGGTTCTGGCTGAGAACTAGAGTACTTCACATTTTCTTCACTGAGGCATTAGGACAGAAGGAAATATACATTTAATAAAATAAAATCTATCATGCCTTTCTTACATCACACAAACACTCTCACACAGTATTATGTCCATTGTTGATTATTATAAAAAAATACATATATGTATTATTCTTCATGGGGAATACTACAATCAAAAACGACTTAATCTTTATCAGTCTTACCAAGAAGCACTGTTTACTGGAGAGAAGTCCAAATTGGATTGAATGTGCTTAGAGAAGCCACTGGGAGACTCTGACATACCACCTGAAGTGACTCGGGGCCTTTTTGCCCCTAAAAAAGAAAAAAAATACAAATGCTTTCAAGTCTTCTATGCAAATGTGTTTTTAAGTTAGCCCAACTGGTAACTTGAAGAAGTAAAACTCTTTCTAAATCTATTTATTTAACACAAAATATTTACAAGATATAAAACAAAGTCTTCCTATATGACTTTATAAAAAATGTGGTCAAGTTATTAAATTACTAAGATTCACTTGTCAAATTAGGTATTTCACAATACCGAAGTATGACCTGTAGGCGTGTTCCAAGTGTGAAGTATGCTCAGGCCACAATCTTAATGGCATCTTTTGTGGGTAACAGAAAAATGTTCCATGAAAACGACAGACCTGGCTAAAGGACTAGAACTTTTAAAAATAAAAAAAATTTATGATAATAACAATAAATATTATGAATCTTCTCTAGCCAACATTCTTTGATTCTTTACAATGAAGATTATACTCAAAATGACGCCACTATAAATTTATGGTTACAATCCCTAGCCGAACCTCAATATTGCCAGATAATTCTATTTCCTTCTCTAGTTAGTTTCCTTTCCTTTTCTCCACAAGGATCATTTCAAAACTACACTTCTGTGTAATTTCCAAGACTACTGTCCAGTACCTAAACTACCACCTCCCATTTCAGAGAGAAAATAAAGCCATTAGACAGAAACTACATCAACTTGTCCGCAGCAAATCTGCTAAGTTACTTGTATTACTACACATCCTTTCATTCCTTCCATTCTCCTATGGAATGTTCATCACTCTACTCGTGTTCCAGAGCCCATATCCTTCTACCTCCTGAGGGATCTTGATCCTCTGTTATTCATTCCCTTTCTCTTAGACTGTCAGCCTCTTCCTCTCTACAGGATCTGTACCCAAACCACTTAAACATGCTAAAATTTTTTTTAAACCTGCTTTTTATTTATTAATCCATTCATTCAAATATTTTATTAGATCTACTCTGTGCCAGGCATTATTCTAGGTATTAGGTATTCAGCAGTGAGCAAAACAGAAAAAAAACCCTTGACCTCTTAAATCCTACATTCTATTGAGGAGAGACAAAATAACATAAAATAAATTTAAATAAAATTAAAAATCAATAAGCTAAATGTACAATGGAGGAAAATAAAATGAAGAAATGTGTTGGACTGCATATGTCCACAAGATAGTAAAAACTTTAAAAATTTAAGAAATGTATTAGAAAGAAGAGGATAGTTTTAAATGGCATGGCCAGGAAAGGCTTATTGAAAAGATGACACTGAAGTCAATATCCAAAGAAAGTGAGAAAATAAGACACGCATCTAAGTTCCATGGGAAAAAGCATTTCCAGGCATAGGGAACATTCATTACAAAAACAGTGAGGTAGAAGTGTGCCTAGAGTTTTTGGAGAACGAGAAGACCACCATAGCTATGACCAAGGGGGAGCAAAGCAGAAGTGAAGTTGGAGAGGTAATGTAAGGGACAAAACTGGGTAAGAACTCACAGGTCATGAACTGATTTTAGCTTATACCATTGGTGAGAACTAAAGCATTGGAGGATTTAGGTAGAACAATGAGATATTCTAATTTACTTTTAAATCAGAACACTCTGGAAAGATATCATAGTAGTATGGAATGACAGGGTAGCAGTAGAGGTGAAAAAAGGTAATCGGATTCTAGAATTTTTTTTAAGATAGAGGTTAACAATTACCTGGTGGACTGGGTGTCAAGTAAAAGAGAATGAGAAAAATGAAGGATGACTCAAGGTTTCTGATCTGCATAATAAGAATAATGCAGTTGCCGTTAACCAACATGGAAAAGACTTAGAAAAGAAATGGGTTTGAAAGGAAAAGATCAGTAACAGTTTGGAACTCATCAAGTTTGAGATGCTTAACATTCAAGCGAAATTTGAGAGGGCAGTTAAGACATACAAGTTCGGAATTCAGAAGAAAGGTCTAGGTTGATATAAATGTGACTATCAACATATAGTTTTTTTCAGAGCCACAAAACCAAATACTACTACTAAGGGAGTGGGTGTGGAGAAAACAAAGGAAATCCATAGATTCAGCCCTGGAGAACTCCAGTAGTAGAAGGCTGAGCAAATGAAAGAAAACCATCCAAAGAGACTGAAAAGGAGCAACCAGTGAGAAGCACAAACATCAGAAGAGTAGAATGGCTGGAAGCCAAATGAAGAAAGTGTTTAAAGGAGGAGGGCATGATCAACTGTAAAAAATACTGACGAGATAAAACAAGATGTCTGAGAACTGACTACAGTAGTCCCCCTTATCCACAGATGATATGTTCAAGTGGATGCCTGAAAGTACAAATGGTATCAAACCCTACATATGTTCTTTGGATCTAATAACCAAATTAGCTACTAAATGAGTTACAAGCAGGTAGCACATAGAACATGAATATACTAGAAAAAGGAATGATTCACATCCCAGGTGAGATGAAGCAGGACAGCACGAGATTTTATCATGCTACTCAGAATAGCAAACAATTTAAAACCTATGGTAGGGCATTGTGGCTCATGCTCATAATCCCAGCACTTTGGGAGACTCAGGTGGGTCGATTGCTTGAATCCAGGAGTTTAAGACTAGCCTGAGCAACATGGCGAGACCTTATCTCTACCAAAAATACAAAAATTAGCTGGGCATAATGGCTCACACCTGTAGTCCCAGCTACTCAGGGGGCTGAGATGGGAGGATCATTTAAGACCAGCAAGTAGAGGTTGCAGTAAGCCAAGACCATGCCACTGCACTCCAGTCTGCGTGACAGAGTGAGACTCTGTCTCAAATTAAATAAATAAATAAAATCAATCTATGAATTGTTTACTTCCAGAATTTTCCATTTATTCTTTTCAGACCTCAGGTGACCACAGGTAAGGATGGACTATTACACTGAACTTGGCAACATGTTCCAAAAATCACTGTGACTTGGTAACAAAAACTCAAAATTAGTTTTGAAGTGTTAGAAATGAGAAGCAATTTTAGAAATGCTCAATTTTGAAGAAAATGGATTGGTAGAGAAAAGAGGGGTTAAGAGAAATTTTATTACCATTATGATCTGATTTTTAAAATGGGAGAAAAAGCATTTGGTACGCTGATGAGAAAGATCCAATAGAGAAGGAAAAATTAATAATGTGGGAGACAGAAAAACTGCTAGACAAAGTCCTTGAGTAGGTAAGAGAAAAATCTGGCTTAACACCTGTAGCAATTTATCCACAGCAATATAGGACGAAGGAGAATATTATGAGTTTAGAGGCAGTTAGTTAGGGGGAAATGGTGGTGGAAGCTTGCATAAGTTGTCTTGTGGCTGCTTCTATTTCCCAGTGATATAGGAAGCAGAGTGAACAACTGAGAGAGAGAATGGGGAAGAAGATAATAAAAGTTAAGGGGCCAGACGCAGTGGCTCACACCTATAAACCCAGCACTTTGGGAAGCTGAGGCTGAGACCAGCCTGGCCAGCATGGCCCAGCTACTCAGACGGCTAAGGCACAAGAATCACCTGAACTGAGAGGCAGAGGTTGAAGTGCTACAGCCTGGGTGAATGCAAGTCCCTGTCTTAAAAAAAAAAAAAAAGAGAGAATTAACGTGATTTAAGGTAACAGGATAATGAAATACATGGGGAAATAAAGCCCAAATGCCAGGCAGAATTCAGGGTCCACTTAAGATTAGTAATCCTGAATTTAAAGTGAATGTTTTTGGGTATTTTTCTCCTGCTGCAATCCATTATGCAGATACAAGTGTGGAGTACATAGAAAACTACTAGATTAAACCCAGAAACTACTTACTGGGTTCTACCCACTAAGTATGATGAAGACACAAGGGGACAAGGAAGTTGAAGATTATGAATACAAAGCAGTTATTTATAATGACTAACCTAAAGATTTAAGATAGGTAAAAACAGAATCAAGGACCTAGAGAGGGAGCAGGTAAGAGACTAAAGAGATAGAATTAATTAACTTCAAGTCCAGCTAGAGTCAAAGGATTGTTGAAGTCAGAATATTAAGGGAGGAAGTCCGAAAAAATCATACTGGTCATCAGTGCAGAGTGTTCAAAGACAATATCACTATAGGAGAAAAGGTCAAGTAACAGTAAAGTCAGGATATCAGGATGATCCAAATAAATATTTAAATATTCAAGAATCATGACAAAAATGATATCAACAATCATGTTGGAGACTGTGATAGTACGGCAGATGTTTTAATTTGAGGTTCAAAAGTTAGAAGGGAGAGAGATACAGGAAGATGGGAGAAAGTGACAATGAAAAATACGGAGAACACCTGTGCCATGTCCAGATCAAAAGACATGAGGGTATGGGAAAGAAAACACCTAACACTTTAGAGGAAGCTGTGTCCTTAGGGGAAAATTGGACTTTAAGTTAGAACGAGGAAAAGAGAGTTAATGTTTAAATATTAACTCTTTTCTGTCCATGAGGATAGAGTTAAACATTAATTCTTCAATAACTCTCAGAATGTTTCTCATTCATCATCTCTAGTCATTGTTCTTTCTCCTCCCATTCACGGCCTAACAGTCCTATCAACACTATTTTTAAATTTCTTTTGGAATCATCTCATTTCTGCAATACCATTGCCCTAACCTACTCCAAGCCACCATCTTCCCATATCTAGACAACTAGCAGAAAGGCCTACAGCATTCTGAATATTTCCCTAATCATAAAAAACAATGGAAGAAAACAGTAGAAGTCAGGGAGATGTTTTAAAACCATTTAAAAGATATGACTATGCCATATTCTTGCTTAAAATCTCTCAAAGGTCTCTCCCCAATGGTCTTAAGTTAAAGCCCAAAATCTTGAACATAGCTTACAAGGTGTTCTTCCACAAATTGGCCACTAGCCATCTCTCCGGCCTCATCTCAAACCTCTCTTCCTCTCCCACTTCCCTGTTTACTCAATTCACTCAATAAATATTTAATGAGTGTCGAGGGCACACCACATACTGTGCTAAGGACTGGTGATATAATGATAAACACAACAGACATGGCTTGTGCCATACTGATCTTTCAAGTTACTCAAATGCACCAGACTTTCTAAAACCAAAAATTTTTCAAATACTGCTTCCCCCGTTCAGAATTAAATCTGCCACTTACCTTGCCTGGCTAGCTTCCCTTTAATCTTCAAATCTTAGACTTAATGTCATTTCTTCAGGAATAAAATTCTTCCCTGTCCCTTATGACTTGGTCAGACATTTAGCTATAGAACCTGACTTTCTGCTTTATAATTATTTAAAATTATTTTTATGTTTTTTCCTACTAGACATTATAATCTCCATGAGGACAGAGACCATACCTATCTTGTGTTGTTGACTTGTGACAATGACTTTGCAATTACCTTTTCTTCCACAGAAAAATAAACAAACTTGTAGTTTAAGAATATTACCTTTCTTAAGGAGTTTGTTATACCATCTATCTTTTTTGATGTCTGGAATGGTAATTCTTGCTGATGGATTCTCAACTAGGATTTTATGCAGCAGAGCTAAAAACAAACATTAAGACAACATTCACGAAAACAGTCACAGAGATTAGAGAAGCCTATGGCTTGTGGTAAGAAACACATTTTCTGTTGGCTTACTAAATATTATTTCTAGGGAAGAGAAATAATTAAAGCTACTAAATTACGGCTTTAATTTCATGCAGTTGTCTGTGTCTTGGAATAGTTTTCGCTGATCTGATTTGCAATTGTTTGCCACTGAGAACAAGAGCCAGATGGAAATGTTTCTCCTCATGTGATAAGATTAACAAAAAGATAGAGAAACCCCTCTTATCCATTTTCAATACCAAATTTCATTACTTCAATGTCATGTTCTCATCTGACCTTATTCACAGTTTTATAAAGAATATTTACTTACCGATAACTTTTTAAAAGACAGTAGTCTAACTAACCATCCTAAGGTATCTTGATTTTCTTGAGAAAAAATTCATATAGCTCTCTATATCAAAATTATTTCCTAATGGACCAAAGATTCGAATGTAAAAATGAAGCCATAAAAACACTAAAAGAAAACATGGGGAACTTTTATATACTAGAGGTAGAAGACCTTTCCAGTGATAATATAGTCAGAGACCATAAAGGACAAGATAATAGATTTGAATGTCAATACAGCAAAACAAAATGAAAGTAAAAGATAAATTGTGAAAAATATTTGTACAAATGCAAAGGTCAATATGTTAAAAAATAAAAAAATGTAATCCCAGCACTTTGGGAGGCCGAGGCGGGTGGATCGCGAGGGTCAAGAGATCGAGACTAATCTGGTCAACATGGTGAAACCCTGTCTCTACTAATTATACAAAAAAAAATTAGCTGGGCATGGTGGCGCATGCCTGAAATCCCAGCTACTCAGGAGGCTGAGGCAGGAGAACTGCCTGAACCCAGGAGGCAGAGGTTGTGGTGAGCCGAGATTGTGCCATTGCATTCCAGCCTAGGTAACAAGAGCGAAACACCGTCTCAAAAAAAAAAAGGAAAAAAACGAAAAGAAAAAACTTCAAAGTAGTAAGAAAAAAATAATATCCTTGACAAAAATGAGCAAAATAGACAAAAAACTAATACATACATAAAGGGTATACAACTTCATTAGTATTAAATTTAAAATAAAAAACTATCATTTATAGGCCTATTAGTTTTTTTCTTAATGTAAATTGATGAGACTGTGATAAAATGGTTTGAACTTTCAGGAAGCAATTTGACAATATAAGCCATAATAATAAAAACTACATCCTTGATCCTGCAATTTTGCTTCTGGGGATTTCAATAGACAATTTAAGGGTATGTGCCATGATTAAGTTACAGAGATACTTATCCTATCTCTTTTATATCTGTGAAGATTAGAAAAATCTCCAACAAAGTGATTAGAAGAATATAGTAAGGCATATCTGCATGGCAGAATATCATCACAGACTCTAAAACAATGATGTAGACCTACAATTATTGTCATGGAAAAATGTTCACAGAGCATTAAAACCAAAAACGTTTACAAATTAGTGTGATCTCACTTTGTATACACACATAAATAATATACATATATTGATTATACATAGGCCACATTAATGATGTTTCAGTCAAGAATGTACCACATGTATAACAGACAGCCCCACTAGATTATAATACTATATTTTTACTATACTTTTTCTATGCTTAGATACACGAATACCATTATGTTACAGTTCCTTACAGTACTTAGTATAGTAACATGCTGTACAGGTTTGCAGCCTGAGATCAATAGGCTGTACCATTATACCTTAGATTTATGGTAAGCTATACTATCTAGGTTTATGTAAGTATATTCTATGATGTTCACACAATGATGAAATCACCTAAGGACACATTTGTTAGAGTACATCCCTGTAATTAGGCAACAAATGACTGTATTTGCAACAAAATATAGCACATATCAAAACTTTTATTTTTAAATAGAAAACCACTTAAAAGCATAGATTCAAGTTGCTCTGAATATACATTCCCCAAAATATTTTTAAAAATCTGTTGCAGAGTTCTGGGACTAAAGAGTTATTTTTTCCTTTTTATTTACAATTAATAATTTATAAAAATCATGACATAAATTTAAAAGAAAAAAAAACATAAGAAAAAATTCAAATAGCATTAGACTTCATATCCAAGAAATCAATACTCTTTCACTCAAGATAATCCAGTTACCTAGAGGAGCAGAATCAAGTTTTTTCCAAGGGTTGAGGTATGTTTTTTTTTCTTTCCAGTCAGAATATTCCTGACAGTTGTCACTGGGTTGGTCCCATGGCAATTCTAAAAACAAAGCAAGTTCATTTTCTTGAATGTTCTTATTTACAAAGATTTCAAGGAAAAATAATACAAATCCATGAAAAGTTCCTTTGAATTAATTCAATACAGTTTTCAAACTAAGAATCCCAACTTGGAAAGTTTAGAGACACTTCAAAGATAGATAAATCAGGACAGGCATGGTAGCTCAGGACTGTAATTCCAGCACTTTGGGAGGCTGAGGCAGATGGATTGCTTGAGCCCAGGAGTTTGAGACCAGCCTGGGAAACATAGTGAGACCCCAACTCTACAAAAAATAAACAAAATTAGCTTGGTGTGATGGCATGCATCTGTAGTCCTGGCTCCTCAGGAGGCTAAGATGAGAGGATCACTTGAGTCTGAGAGGTCAAAACTCATACCACTGTACGGCAGCCTGGGTGACAGAGCAAGACTTTGTCTCAAAAAATAAAAAAATTGATGAATCACTTCTTGCCCTAGTCTTGTTTTCAAAAGTGTTTACATGATCCATAGAAAAGTACTGTGATATTTAATAAGTATGCATGCCTCATCTTAAAAAAATATTTGGGATTATAAGTAAGTTACTACTTGCAACGTACTAAACATTTGTGTCCCCCTCAAAAGTCATGTTGAAATCCTAACTCACAATGCAATGGCATTTGGAGGTGGGGCCTTTGAGTGGTGATTAGGTCCTGAGAATGGCATCCCTCAAAAAGTGGTATTAGTGCCCTTATTAAGACCTTATTAGTATCTAATAAAGGCTCATGTGTCCAGCCAATATTGTGTTTTTATAGGGTACTAATTATGTAATTCCAGCACTTTGGGAAGCCAAGGTAGGCAGATCACTTGAGTCCAGGAGTTTAAGACCAGCCTGGATAACATGGGAAGACTGTCTCTAAAAGAACACAAAAAATTAGCCAGGTGTGGTGGTGCACACCTGCAGTCCCAGATACTCAGGGGACTGAGGTGGGAAGATTGCTTGAGCTTGGGAGGTCAAGGCTGCAGTGAGCCTTGAATTGTGCCACTGCACTCCAGCGTGGGCAACAGAGTGAGATCCTGTCTCAAATAATAATAAAAAAAAACTCAGACACAATGTCTCACAAGATCTGGTCAACAGACACACACACACACACACACACACACACACACACACCCCCATACCCTCCCACCCCCAACACAGTACTTTGGGAGGCTGAGGTGAGCAGATCACTTGAGGTCAGGAGTTTGAGACCAGTCTGGCCAACAACATGGTGAAACTGTCTATACTCAAAATATAAAAATTAGCTGGGCACGATGGCACTTACCTGTAAGCTGGGAGGCTGGGGCAGGAGGATCACCAGACCCAGGAGGCAGAGGTTGCAATGAGCTGAGATCATGCTACTGCACTCCAACCTGGGTGACAGAGTGAGACTCTGGTCTCAAAAAAAAAAAAAAAAAATACTAGAGGGCTTGCTTCAGCTCTCTTGGCTGCCCACCATGTGAGCATACAGCAAGACAGCCATCTGCAAATCAGGAAGAGGACCCTTACTGAAACATGACCAGGCTGGTTCCCCTAATATCATACTTTCAGTCTCCAGAACTGTGAGAAATAAATTTGATGTTTATAAGGTATGTAGTCTATGATACTTTGCTACAGCAGCACAAACTGATCAAAACACTATTAAAATACTACTACAGAAGCTGAGTGCCATGGCCCACGCCTTTACTCCTAACAGTTTGGGAGGCGAAGACAGAAGACTTGCTGGAGGCCAGGTGTTTAAGATCAGCCTGGACAACACAGCAAGACCCTAACTCTACAAAAAATTTGTAAAACTTAGCCAGACATCTTGTGGCTGGCAGCTGTGGTCCTAGCTACTTGAAATAGTGAGGCCAGAGGACTGGTGAGCCCAGAAGCTTGAGGCTGCAGTATAGCTCATTGTATTCCAGTTTGGGGAACAGAGTGAGACCCTCTCTCTTAAAAAGAAAACAAAAAACCATTATATAAATATGAATTCCTTGGTTTATTTCATTTATTTCAGAATAACTAATCTGACTTTTCATAGGACAGGAGTTTTACCATGATTAAGCAGTTCTTACCTCCAGCGAGCATTGCAGTAAGTACTATTCCACAGGACCAAACATCAACTGGTTCTGCATGAAATTCTCTTTTCTTCAGAAGTTCTGGAGCAACATATGGTAAAGTACCACACATCTTGTTCAACAAACGCTCACGATTATTATACCGAAACACTGTTGCCAAGCCAAAGTCTGAGATTTTGAGGTTATCTAAACCAAAAGAAAAAAAGATGGCACTGAATAAAAATGTTTTGCAAATAGATATACTTGCAGGAATAAGTTTTATTGAGAAAAAAATCACTAATGTTACTTAAAGTTTGTAGAACTTCAAATAAGCAAAATAAACAAATCTAAAAAAATAAAAGATATCATCACCTATGCTAAAAGTAGAAAAAGGCCTCATCTCTTCTATTAACTTAAAAGAAGTATTATCAACATGCAAAACAGTCTGGATCAGATTAAAGCAAGAAAGTGGAGTCAGAGGGGCTGCCCTTCTGGAAAAGAGCACTTTAAACTTGAGCTGAAAGCAAAGCAAAGCCCTTCATCAGGTAGGGTGGAGGGCAGGAAGGTAACCTCGGTAATATGTTAGGCACAACTTTCTCAGCAGCAAACAAACCCAGTTAGCAGAAGAAAATATCTCAAGACCAAGCAATATTCAACAAACCACAATGCTTTTTTTTTCCTTCAAAGTAGGGAGTCTGAGAAAAAGAGGAAAAACTCTGTACCAAAAAAAAAAAAAAAAAAAAAAAATCAGAAAACCAAACCTCCACCCTAACTTCCCATCATTAATACACACAAACTGCAAGCAGGACTTAACTTATATTTAGTGAATATCTACTGCAACTTAGTGATAGACACTATGCCAGCCAATGCAGGTAGCAGATAAACCAGTAAAGACTGACAATAGAAAACTGTTATGAAGATTATAAAAATATAGAGCACCACAGGATCTTAAAGCACTACAGAATCTAACGCAGTCTTAAGAGTTAGAAAAAGCCCCCTATTCTCAGAAGGCATTTTGGCAAAACATACTAAAATGTGAAATATTCACTCTTTGAACTAGCAATTCCCACTTCTATATCCATAGGAATAATCCTTTGCCATACCCGGCAAAAAAAAAAAAAAAAAAACCATGCCCGGCAAATTCAAAAACAAGAATATTCATAGCAATATTTATAAACAAATGATTAAATATTATAATACATTGTACAATGGAAAATGTGGAGGTAGGTTTTAAAAAAAATAAGGTATATCTATACATACTGACACTAAATAGTGTACAGGTAGGACAAAAAGGCCAATGGCATAAAAAATAGTATAGCATGACCCAATTTTTATATTGGCCCTTTACATAAATTTATAAAAGTCATTACTGTCCTATTTTATTTTTTAAGTTATAAACAAATTAAATGTCTCAAAATAGGGGACTGATTCTTTAAAAATCAAGTACATTCACACAACATGTAAACCATTGAAACATTTACCTCTATCTGACTTAGGAGGTAGCTAATGTGATTATCTTTTTCTTTTCTTTTTTGTTGAAAATGGTCTCACTCTGTTGCCAAGGCTGGAGTGTAGTGGTGTGATCATGGCTTACTGCAGCCTTGACCTCCTAGGTTGAAGTAATCAATCCTCCTGTTTCAGCCTCTCAAGTGGCTGGGACTCCAGGTATGCACCACCATGCCTAGCTAATGTTTTCTTTAATTTTTCATAAAGACAGGATCTATATTGTCCAGGCTGATCTCAAACTCCTAGGACCAAGCCATCTTCCCGCCTCAGCCTCCCGAAGCGTTGGGATTATAGGCATGGGCTACTGCACCCAGCTGATTATCTTTTTAATAGCTATTTAAGACACTATCTGGTCAAACCACCAAGACTGAGTTCCAAATTACTTATGAGTAGTAACCACTTAAAATACTAATGGATAACTGTAATATTCCTTGGACTTCATTATGTCTGCAACGTAATAGTTATGTTAGAGAACTGCACATAATGAAAGTTAAATTTAGAAATGTGATTAGCTCTTAGAAAAAGAAAACACATACTTGTGATGAAATAAACAGGAGAGTTGATACATGTCTACATTTCATTATAGTATTTTATCTAAGAATTTTTGTGTACCTGAATTTTTAAAGTTTTAAATAAACAGAAGGATGTTAAACACTGGTAACATTTTATTTCTTTTTTAAAAAGATTACTAAATAGAAACAAAATATTAATTATATCTTGTATGTTAATACAAGATCTAAAAAATAACAACGTAATAAACATCCACTCACTTTAGTAAAACAATGTTCTATGTCCTTTGAAATCTGTAAATACTTCCTTAAATATACTCTCTCCCCCACCTTCTTAGAGGTAACCCCTATTCTTAGAGGTAACCACTATTCCCCCACCTTCTTAGAGGTAACCACTATAATAAAACCTTCTTAGAGGTTTTATTATGCCCTTGCTTTTCTGTGTGAATTTTTTTTCTCCAGGTTTACATCCCTGAACAGTATACTGTGTTTACATATTTTTGAACTTTGTATAAATAGAATCAGACATATGAACTCTTTTGCAACTGTTCCTTTTTGCTCTATATCATTATATACCTGAAATTCATCCATGCCACTGCATATAGGTATAAGGCATCCATTTTATAATTTACTGATAGACATCTGGGTTATTTACAGTTTTCTCCTATATTAAAACCACCACCACTGTGAGCATTCTTATATATGAATAATGTTCTATTTTAAACTAGGTGGGTTAATACATGTCTATTTACATTTCTTTACATTATATATAATTTTTGTGTACCTGCATTTCTAAAGTTTTAAATAAAAATAAAGAATTTTTTTCTTTGAGACGGAGTCTTGCTCCACCCAGGCTGGAGTGCAGTGGCACAATCTTGGCTCACTGCAACCTCCGTCTCCAAGTCCAAGCGATGCTCCTGCCTCAGCCTCCTGAGTAGCTAGGACTACAGGCGCACACTACCATGCCCAACTGATTTTTGTATTTTTAGTAGAGACGGGGTTTCACCATGTTGGTCAGGCTTGTCTCAAACTCCTGACCTCAAGATCCGCCCACCTCAGCCTTCCAAAGTGCTGGAATTACAGGCGTGAGCCACCATGCCCAGCAAAAATAAATATTTTTATGTTATACAAACTCAATTTAAAGGGGTAAAAAGTAAAATCCACATGCACATTAGAAAAAAGCATGTTATCGGCTGGGTGCGGTGGCTCACGCCTATAATCCCAGCACTTTGGGAGGCCAAGTCAAGCAGATCACTTGAGGCTAGGAGCTTGAGATCAGCCTGGCCAATATGACAAAACCCTGTCTCTACTAAAAATATAAAAATCAGCTCGGTATGGTGGCTTGGGCTTGTAATCCCAGCTACTCAGGTGGCTAAGGCACGAGAATCACCTGAACCACAGAGGGAGAGGTTGCAGTGAGCCAAGATCATGCCACTACACTCCAGCCTGGGCAACAAAGCAAGACTCTGCTTCCAAAAAAAAAAAACAAAAACAAACAGCCGACCATTTGTCAAGCACTATTCTAATACTAAAAATAAAGCATTAAACCAGGCAAAGACTACTGCCTCATAATTTACATTTCTATTTTGATTCTGACCCTATAAGCTAAAGCTTTCACTATCCATCCTTGTCAATCTGATGGCATCCATAAAATATAACTAAATGTTTTACGTATTTATCCAAGTCATACATAAAAAAGAGTTAACAGGACAAGTCTAAGGTCCAGGGTATTCCATAGGAACTTCCCTTTATTAATCCATTGAAGAATTATTTTAAACTGTTCTTGGCCAGGCACGATGGCACACACCTATAATGTCAACACTTTGGGAGGCTAAGGCCAGTAAAGAGCTTGAGTCCAGGAGTTCAAGACTAGCCTGGGCAACAAAGGAAGACCCCCATCTCTACAAAAAATTAAAAATTAGCCAGGCATGGTGGTACCTGCCAGTAGTTGGTCCTAGCTACTCAGGAGGCTGAAGTGGTAGGATCACTTGAGCCTGGGAGGTCAGGGCTACAGTGAGCCCGGATCACAGAGTACATTCCACATTGGGCAACAGAGACCCTTATATTCTTATACATAAAGTGAGCTAGCCTTGCACCTAGGTCAGATTCCTCTACCTTATCTGCAATTGTATTGCATAATGAGACTTGTGATTTCCAAATATACTAAGTCTCCAAAATTTCCTTGATTTTTCAGATTCTGTCTTGACATTCCAGTAATGCAAAAGACTTGATTTTACTTGTAAAATAAAATAATTTAGGTACCAGTGACAAAATGCTAAACTTACCCCTTTCATCCAATAGAAGATTTTCTGGTTTAATATCCCTGTGAGTTATTCCAATACCATGCAGATAAACCTAAGAGGGAGGCAGAAAGAAACACACCAGAATTTGGTAATGTAATTTATTCTTACTAATTTTAAGTAAAAGGGAAAGAGACAACTATACCTACCACCCCTGCCATGAGTTGATGGAAGAACCTCTGAGCATCTTGTTCAGGCATGCCTATATCCGGCTCTAAAACAATTATGAAAGTTAGTTTACTGAATAAATATAATCAGGTAGTAACCATATAGCTTCTGAATTTGAAGCTTAGACATTATGAATGTACTTAAGCAAACAGAATCAAATGCCAACAAAAAATTCAGGAGTCCACTAACAGATACAGGGCTTAACTCACACATTCACCTGTTAGATGGCAAAACTAATATCACAGGAAAAATATAAAGAGAAAACCAACATCCAGATCAAGAAGGCAAGCCATGCCTTAAAAGCTGCTCTTCTAAAGCCCCTGCTTCCTCTTATACTAACACTGATTTATTCAGTATCCTTCAAATTCTCCCCTTTTTCTTCTAAATGCTATGCTAATATTTTTTTCATGCCTGAAATATGCCAAGGGAGAAGTCTGGGCAAATCTAAGCCAATTTCACTAAATATTTTACAGATTATACTTTTTATTATTTAACTTTTTTTTTTTTTAAGAGATAAGGTCTCGCTCTTTCACCCAGGCTGGAGTCCCTGGAGTGAGATCATAACTCACTGTAACCTGGAAGTCTAGAGCTCAAGCGATCCTTCTGCCTCAGCCTCCTCAGTACCTAGGATTACAGGCGTGTACCACCACACCTGGCTCAGATTTAAATATCATATAGTCTCACACTACAAAGTCACTAATGCCTGTGAAGTCCTTCATGAAACACAGTTTTATTATAAGAGTTCTTTTATCAGTTTTTTTTATACTTTGATCTCTCTCATTAACTCCATTTCTTTTACCCTCAATTCTCTCCTGAGTCACACTGGGGATCCTATTACCTGTATCAGTTTTTAATTGTTAATACAATAGCTTTAAATTATAAATTTAGATCCACAAATTTATTTTATGTACTTCTCAGTGTTCTGTAATATCAATTCTTTGATTCTACATAGATTAAGTATTAATAGCAAACACAGAATTTACCTAATATACAAAAAGCAATCCTAGAAAATTCTTAATTATTTCATGTAAACCGGAAGGAAACAACATGCTATAATTTTAGATCTGTAAATACATACAATAATTTCATGTAATGAGAATATCTACAAAGAAAAAAATTGTATAGGCAATACATTGCATTTAGGATACAGTGCATTTATGATGTACCATAAAACTACAGTTTCTCACTCTTAAATTTTTTAAGACACCAATCTTAATCAAAATCACTTACATAACTTGGGAAAGGAGTTTTCTTTCATTGACTCTACGTATGCTTTGATTATTAACACCAGTTTGAAAAATTCTTTAAAGATAATTTATTCCAATTTCACTGTTGCATGAGCAATTCTGAAAGGACAATGACTTAATAGCATACCCAAGATTTAAAAAACAAATTTAAAAACTTGTTTAGAATAATTATCTTAAATTTTTTTCCATACCTATTCTGTCAAAAAGCTCTCCTCCACTACAGTACTCCAGAAATAAATACTGGATATTGCCTTCTCTCCTGTGACCATAGAATTTTACAACGTTTTCATGATTTAGCATTTTATTGATACAGATCTCTTTCTTAATATTTTCTGGACAGTCTACGGCCCGCTTCATATCTACAATCTTCACTGCGACCGCTTCTTCAGTTATTCTATTCACAGCAAGTTGAACTCTAAAAAGGAAAAGAGTTTTAACATTACAGAATACCATTTCTTCTAAAACTTCCAAAGGTTATACACGACCCATCTAAAACTATTTTACCTTTATTAATTTCTCCACAAGGGAGAAACCAAGGAAATAGTTTCTGCTATGTTTGCAATAGATACTACTCCTTTTTAAAATGTGAAATACGACAGCTAACACTCCAAAGAAGTCCTTATGTTGTCACACAAGTCGTTTAATAAACACTTCATAAAACAGATTGAGGTAATTCTAAGCCACATCACATATGTACATATTCTACTCATATACTTTTAAGAATATTAATCCCATACTATATGTGCCTGTGTAATTGACCGTCCTAAGCATCTATGGGGTAGATACTATTATTGCCATCCTTAAGATGGTAAAGGAAAAGTACACAGTGACATTAGAAAGCTTGCCTAAGATCACAAAACAACGACCAGTTTGTGATAGAGCAAGGATCCAAAACCAAGCAGGCAATCTCCGGAGTCTGCTCATTTGCTCAATTAACCACAAAGCTTAAACCCTGAGAAACAATCTGTGGGCACAGAAACAATAACTTCGTGTCCCTTCCAGCTCTTTAGAAAGAAAACTTTTTTTTTTTTAAAAAAAAAGGGAAGAAAAAAATATTAATCCTAGTAAAAGACTGTGTAACTATAGTTGCCAAAAGACTTGGATCTCAAACATCTACTCACCAAGTCACCAGAGTATTAGACTCCAAAACAGTGAATATGCAGACAGAAAACAAAGGCAAGGTAAAAGAACTCAAACTCACTCTCCATAGGCACCTTCTCCCAGGGTTTGCACCAAGTCCCAGTCTTCCACAAAGGGCACTGCCATGACTCCACGGAGCACCTTGGCTGTAAAAGGCAGGAATCCAGAAAAGATGGAAGGCTAGAGTAAAATCACCTATGAAGCCACTGCGCCCCGCCTCTCCCCAGGATTCCCCACGAGCAATAACAGCTCTTGCCTTCCCCTTATATCTCATCCATATTTATCCAGGTCTTTCAACCACGAGCAACTATTCTAAACGTGGGCATTTTGTCGTGTAACTCACAATCGCTATTCATGCCACGCACACCGAAGGCTGAAATTCTGCCCTCCTCAAGCCTAGAGTAAATTAATCGTGGTGAAGAGGTGGTGGACAAATGCTTTCTGGGGAAAAAGGTAGGAGAGATGGGGGTCTGCGGAAGAGAGTAAGGGGATACAGGGGGCGGAACTGGGCAGAAGACGCCGCGGTAGCGCCTCCACCCAATCGCTCAGCTCCAATTCCCATCCCCGTCCACACCCGACCCGTCCCAGAAGCTGGGGCGGGGCCAAACTGCCTCGAGAGGAGTAAGAAGGACTGGGACCCAGAAGGACGGCGCCTAAACCCCAGGGGTTCCTAGCCAGCAGCAAGTTAGTCCTTTCTCCCCGCTCACTCCCTCCACCCCAACAACCGGAACCTCCTGGTACCACATTCCTCCACCCTCCGAAACCGCCCCTCCGCAGGAGTTTCTCCAATCCCCTGCGCTAGTCAATGCTAACTTTCTCCCACCTTGCCCGTCTCACTAATCTAGACCCCGAACTCCTTCTTTAGAATCTATTCCTACCCTACCGGCCGCCCTTCGTCACCGGGCTGTCCTTTGCCCACCACTGCAGGAATCCAAATGCAGCGCTTTTCCCGCCAAAACTTGCTGCCGCAAACGCGCGCACCCGTGCCGTAAAGCAGGACAGCGCGCGTTACCGTGTCCCACCCCTCGGAGGATCGGCTGCTCCAAAAGACTGACGGTGCGAGGTTGCCGCTCCGGCCCAGGGTTGCTTTGCAGTCGGGGAGAGATCCTGGCTGAAGAGATTTAAGGACGGCGGACTGCGTCGGCGTGAATTGAGCTCTGGGCCCAAATATGAAGTGGCATCCGGTGTGTGCGGCTCGGCTAGGCCGTGCTCGTCCACTGCCGGGCGGAGCCGAGGCCTCCACGCCGAGGGTGCGCGCGACCGACCGCGCTGCGCTTCCAGGCGGGGCTGCGGGCATCGCTCCGGGTCGCGCTGGACCTGAAAGGCTGCACCGCTACCTGCTTGAGGCCACCAGCCTGCGACAGGACTGTGAAGATCACAGTTAGTGGGTGCTGCAGAGTGTTTTGTAAACTTCAGCGTGCGGTACCCGTGGTGTTGGAGCCGAGAAACTAGCAGCAGCTGCTGAGAGCTGTGAAGAATGAGAGGAACTCCGTGTAGGGAGCGAGAGGCATCGAAATGACTGGCCACGCATTGTGTGTGTGGCGTGGGAAGTTTCCCAGAGAAAGAAAGCAGTTTATTTTGGAACTTGAGGTAAAGTCAGGATAACCAATTTTGCTTTTTGTCTGTGAACCGGCTCCAAAACAGTGCTTTAGTTCAGCCCAATCTTTTTGGAGGAAGACCATCTGCTTAGCTTAGTTCTTCTACAGACTTTCATTTTTACAAGCGGGGAGAGCCAAAGTAAATTTTACAATGCAAATTTAAAAGCGGCGTACAGAAAAGTAAATTCTGAGGAAACAGACTTGAGAACCAAATAGGAAAAACTGAAATAGGTATTCTCTGACGATAAACTAAACTGGAGCTCAAGGCATAGGCAAGATCATCTCCATACATTCTCCAGTACTAGCCGGGCGCAGTGGCTCGTGCCTGTAATTCCAGCACTTTGGGAAGGCAAGGCAGGAGAATGGCTTGAAGCCAGGAGTTCAAGACCAACCTGGCCAACATAGTGAAACCTCATCTCTACTAAAAGTACAAAAAACTAGCTGGGAGTGTTGGTGCACACCTGTAATCCAGCTACTCGGGAGGGTGGGGCAGGAGAATCGCTTGAACCCGGGAGGTGGAGGTTGCGATAAGCCAAGATGGCGCCAGTGCACCCAGCCTGGGCAACAAGAGCAAAACTCGGTCTAAAAAAAAAAAAAATTTAGGAATCAGTTGGGCTTGGTGATGCGTCCCTGTAGCCCTAGCTTCTTGGGAGGCTGAGGAGTTTCAGTCTGGGAGTTAGACGTTGGTGAGCTATGATGGTACTATTGCACTCCAGCCTAGGCAACAGCATGATTCTCTAGGAAAAAAATACATACGTGTGTGTGTGTGTGTGTGTGTATGAAGTCCTTAAGACTGGGCCGCATACAGGCACTCAGCGTAACTATTATGATAATAGCAACAAAGTAAATCAAGTATAAAATGTTACTCAAGGCCAGGCATGGTGACTCATACCTGTAATCCCAGCACTTTAGGAGGCTGGGGGGGGGGGTGGATCACCTGAGGTCAGGAGTTCAAGACCAGCCTGGCCAACATGGTGAAACCCCGTCTCTACTAAAAATACAAAAATTAGCTGGGCATGATGGCGGGTGCCTGTCATCGCAGCTACCAAGCAGATGGAGGTTGCAGTGAGCCTAGATGGAGCCACTGCACTCCAGCCTGGGTGACAGAGCAAGACTCCATCTCAAAAACAAAACAAAAAAACAAAGCAAAACACATTTCTTTTAAAGAAGCAAAGTCAAGAACAAAAATCAAGGAAAAAATTCTTAAAATGTTTATGTGTATAGTTTTGAATCATGACATCACAGGATTAGGCTTCATATAATTTTTTAAAAGTTTGTTGTTTTTGGAAATGGTGTATTGCTGTCACCCAGGCTGGAGTACAATTGGGCAGTCTTAGCTCAATTGCAGTCTTCAACTCCAGGGCTCAAGTGATCCTCCTACCTCAGCATCTCAAGTCACTGGGATTTTAGAAGTCAGCCACAGGGCCTGGTGTAACAATAATAATAAAAGAAAGTTTTAAAAACATTTATCCCGTTTTCTCTTGTTTCCTCACTGTGTGCTGAAAACAAAGAATATGAAAAGAGGAAGACCTGCAAAATTCCTGTGTCTGACGGAGTCTTTTTAGCCTGAAAAAAAAAGATTTGCAGATTACCAGTTAAAGAGAGAATATATGGAAATAGCCTCTATTCCCTTCTGAAAGCTTACTAAAATATTTTAATAGTAAAGGATACCAATATTTAAAAGAACCCATGAGAACAGAGTATCAGACACAACATTTTGGAAAGTAGCCTTTAGATGAGAGGTAATGAAGATGAATCCCAAAACTAGCAATAGAAAGCAGAATTAACATCACAGAACTCTCAGAAAGCTCAAGTTGAACTGGTGACACCAGGTAACTGAAGGTGGAGGTAAGAATGGGGCTAAAATGGATAGATTTAAAGACTGCATAAAAAGCAAATAGATCCCTGTATCCTTTTCCTTTCTATGTAACCAAGGAACTGTCCCTCCGCAAAGCTGGTACAAGATATAAGAGGATAAATGCATAGTATATGAACTGGAGATCAATAAGGCACAATTAAAAGCTGGGGCACCTTACTGAAAATGGAGAGATTAAGTTTTATGCACTGAAAGTTGAGCCTGTAAAACTTCTTTCCCTCCTCTACAGTTAGTTGATTGCCTGGCTTACATCCTTGAGTAAGAGAATATACAAGCCTTCTCAAGGGAATCTTACCTATGTAAAAGAAAAAAAATCTAAAAATATCAGTATCATGGATTTCCCAATATAACAGCCCAGCCAGATCACAGATTGAAACACATATTATTAATCCCCATTCATCCCCTACAAACAGACCTTTCAATTAGTTTTTTAGGGTCCCACGTTTTTTTTCTTTTTGAGACAGTCTTGCTGTCACCCAGGTTGGAGTGCAGTGGCATGATCTCTGCTCACTGCAACCTCCGCCTCTTGGGTTCAGGTGATTCTTATGCGTCAGCCTCCCCAGTAGCTGGGATTACAGGTGTGTACCATCATACTCAGCTAATTTTTCTATTTTTAGTAGAGACAGGGTTTTGCCATGTTGGCCAGGCTGGTCTTGAACTCCTGGCCTCAATGATCTGCCTGCCTCCGCCTCCCAAAGTGCAGGGATTATAGGTATGAGCCACTGTACCAAGCCTAGGGTCCCACTCTTAAAGACGAGCAGACCACCAAGAATTTGAGAAAGTCTTTAATATGAAAGACATCAAAATAAAGGAATAGTCAGCAACAAAAAACCCCAACCCCTCTGGACATTAAAAATATAGAAGAAAAGAAGCTATTTTAAATAGATTAGAAAATAAAGTTGAGAGCATCTCAGAGAAGGAAGAAAATACAAAATAGAAGAGTAAATATAAGACCATTAGGAGATAAATTCAGGAAGTCCACCATCCAAATAACGATTTTTCAGAAAAAAAAGAGGGTTGGGATTTCCATCCTCTTTCCCCTCTTAATATCTTGCATATATAATGCAAGAATATTTTCCAGAACTGAGGAACTTTCCATACATAAAATTCCAAACTGCGCAGCACAATAGGTGACTCACTCAAGACACAACATTGGGAAAATTTCAAAACATTATATAGAAAAGATCCTAAGAGGTCTGGGTTGAAGGTGAGAAGGAACAGATACATTAAGAAAAACTGGAATAGGATTACATTTCTCAACATATGGAACACAGAAAACAATAGGTCAATGCCTTCCTAGTCCTAAGGAAAAATCATTCCCAATCTAGAATTCTGTACCCAATCAACCTATCAATGGAGTATACAACCAGAAATTTATCTCTCACACACATTTTTCCAGAAAAGCACTTAAAGGTGACAAATCAAGAAAGAAGTCAGGAAATTAACACACAATGAGACAATGAAAAGATACATCAACCCAAGAGGTATGCAGCAAACCTTGAGAGTAATCCAATCCTAACGGAACATGAAGATATCTCTAAGAAGATGCCCAAAGTGTCTGAACAAACTAAAAGGAAGTTGGCACAAATGAAGGAGAATATGGGGACAAATCAGTGACAAGTACAAAAAAGAAATGGAAAACTCCATTAAAAAAGTTATGCAGGAGGCCGGGCACGATGGCTCACACCTATAAATAATCCCAGCACTTTGGGAGGCCGAGGTGGGCAGACTGCCTGAGCTCAGGAGTTCGCAACCAGCCTAGGCAACACGGTGAACCCCGTCTCCACTAAAATACAAAAAAAAATTAGCTGGGCTTGGCGGTGTGTGCCTGAAGTCTCAGCTACTAGGGAGGCTGAGACAGAATTGCTTGAACCTGGGAGGCGGAGGTTGCAGTGAGCCGAGATGGTGCAACAGAGCGAGACTTCATCTCAAAAAAAAAAAATAATAATAATGCAGGAAGTAATAATAGTAAATAAACTACATGGCCTAGTTGTGAATAGCCGTAAGGCAAAATACAGATCTAACCTAAATTTTAACTATAATAGAACTCAATCAAATAATAGATAAATAGAATCATGACAACAGAAAAATAACTATTAGAACTATAGGCCGGGTGCAGTGGCTCACACCTGTAATCCCAGCACTTTGGGAGGCCAAGGTGGGTGCATCACCTAAGCCCAGGAGTTTTAGACCAGCCCGGCTAACAATGGCAAAACGCCATCTCTACTAAAAATACAAAAATTAGCTGGGTGTGGTGGCATACGCCTGTAATCCCAGATATTTGGGAAGCTGAGGCAGGAGGACTGCTTGAACCTGGGAGGCGGGGGTTGCAGTGAGCCAAGATCATGCCACTATTCCAGCCTAGGTGATAGAGCAAGACTCCTGTCTCAAAAAAAAAAAAAAAAAAAAAACTATAGTAGATGGCACGATTACATCTGTCCACAGAAGAGAAAGCTAACTCTATAGTTTCCATTCTACACGATGCCTAAAACTGAAATACCAAAACAGAAAAATAAAGCAAGCTATTTATGATATGAAAGTAATGTGAGAATCAGAGTTTAAAGTAGTTGCCTCTAGAGAGCAGAAAACATCATCGCTGCCTTTTAGAATTGAGTTTTTTTGTTTTTTTCTGAGACAGGGTCTCACTCTGTCTCTCAGGCTGGAGTGCAAGTGGTCTTGGCTCACTGCAACCTCCACCTCCCAGGCACAAGGAATCTTCCCACCTCAGCCTTTCCAGTAGCTGGGACTAGAGGCAGGTGCCACCATGCCCGGCTACCTTTGGTATTTTTTTGTAGAGATGGGATTTTGCCATGTTGCCCAGGCTGGTCTTGAACTCCTGGGCTCAAGTGATCCGCATACTTAAGCCTCCCAAAGTGCTAGGATTACAGGCATGAGCCACTGCACCTGGCCTAGATTTGAGTTTTTTATATTAAGTACACAGTAACATTGAAAATGAAAAGGATACTTTTAAAAAGATAGCTTCATGCAGCCTAGACAGTAACAGAATTAAGATCCTCAGAGCAACAACTGTAGTGACAAGTTAAAAGGTTATGCTATTTATAGTATAAAGGAAGGTCATCAATAATTTCTAACTGATATTACTCATACTGATAAATAATTCAGAATAACCTCTTCCACTAAGGATGAATTCTTTACATAAGTGACATATTTACATATAGTAAATAAAATGTTAAATCTAAATCTCACCCACAGTTGAATATGGTATATAAATTGGTTTGGAAGGCTAAGTTCCCTGGCTATACAAATATATAACAGCATATCCTTTAGGAGCGCCACTATGACTTATCTAAAAGTTATCTAATTCTTCCTGTTTTCTTAAATGGGTAACAGTAAACAGTTACCTTTCATCGATGACTTAGGGTTTATATACATCAGTGATATACATGTCATAGGCTCTTTGTCCTAACATTAAATGTCCTCAAGGACCACTGTGCTTTCCAGTTAAAATTTTTTTTTTTTAGACAGGGTTTCACTGTCGCTCAGGCTGGAGTATGTGGCACAATCACAGTTCACTGTAGCCACAACCTCCCAGGCCCAAGTGATCTTCCCATTTCAGCCTCTCGAGTAGCTGGGACTACATGTGCAGACACCACACCTGGCTAATTTTTATTTTTCACAGAAACAGCATCTCCTTATGTTGCCCAGGCTTAAAATTTTTTAAGAAGTTTCTCCTCTCTTTTCTTGCAGGGAGGCTGGCACTGCTCTCTTGGGATCTGTTACTAGCAATGCTTCCCCTTTTAATTTGTATCTTATTTTGAAAGAGCTTCAAAATTAGGTAATTAAACTTGTTAGCCATATACGATAGCAACACATAGGCTAAGACTAAGGGAAAAAGAAGCTCACCTTTGAATAACCACAAGAGTTTTTGAGTAAAGAGTCATTTCTTGCATCTGCTTCGGGTTTAAAAAAAAAGAATAGAGAAAAGGAAGAAAAACTAAAAATAAATAAATAAATAATAAAAGTCATTCCTGTCTCATGAATAAGTGAGTACTGAAAAACTAAATTTCAAATCGATATGTATGATTATATTTAAGCTGATTCAAAAACACGTACATCAAGCTCTATATGTAATGCTGGAAGAGTTTCTTCCTCTCCATTGATAAACCAATAATTTCACTGTTTGTCGGAGTCTTCAAAACTGCTGATTTATAAAGTCAAAAGAGCGTCTAAGGATAAGAGACATTGAGAACAGAGACACAGTAGCAACAAACCTGGCACTCGTCTAGCACTCTTCTGGTCCCACAAACACTTATTCATTCAATAAAAATGTATTGAGCCGTGCTGTTTGTAAGGAACTGTACTAGGTGCTGCAATGCAGAGTATGACAAAACTGTCTGTAGATGTAGGATCTGAATTGGTCTTTGATATTTTCCTGATATGAGAGAGAAAGAAGTCCCTATTTGGCTAATTTAGGAAGCTAAGAGAATGGACAAGGTCTGCTTATGTCCTGGCAGACCAGCATAAGCTTTTTGTCTTCCTAAAATCAGTTGTAAGTCAAAACAGATAAGGCACATTTTTTTTTTTAAAAAAAAACTCCCCCCTTTAATTGACCAAAGTAAAGCCATGACATTTCATTTGGTAACCTATTCATAATTATAAAAATCATATCATTTGGCCCAGCCCATACTGCCCAGGACAAAACTTCCAGACAATTCTAATGCCATCCAGCTTTGTTCTTATAAACTGCATTAAAAAAAAAAATCTTCAACGTCCTAAATGTGATGTGCTCAGCGTGAAGCATATCAGAGGTGGATGTGACATTTATGTCCTTGACAAGCCTCGATTATCCAGGTCCTTTACCTGCAACATAAAGAAGTCGGTTTAATATTTACAATCAAATCAACTTTGGAGAAATTTTCTACTAAAATGGATTCAACCACAGTGGGTAGGATTATGTTGGGATCTGCAGCCTGGTTTGGGGCTGTGAATAAACAAGCACTGATTAGAGACTAGAATCTCTCTGCTTAGCCTTTTGGAATACATCTATGAGGAGCAATATTACTGATCTACCCTCCACATAGATCAAGGGTTCTTAATCTTTTCTTATATGAGAGATATACTCCTGTGTGGTTCTTTGTGACTCTATATACCATATGTTCTTCAGGGAGAGAAGAAAATATAGTTAAAAAATATAAATATGTGAACTTCTGCTCTATTTCCTGCACTCCCCCCACCTGTGAGTCTCATAATCACAGAAACATGGCTGAGTCAAGCCCCAGCTGGAAAAATATCACTGCAACAACTGCCAACATCACGGCAGACTGGGATCATCTACTCTCCCCGAACAACCTCAAATAAAAAGTAAAATTTTGAGTGGGTTTGCAAGCTACTTTTCAAACACAGACGTCCTGAGAAATGTCCCTATTTGAGAAATATGTGGCCCATTTTATAAGCACTGAAACCAATCTGCAAAAATGAAAGTTGCTTTCTGAGACATAGAGCATCTGCTTACCTTGTATATCCTGACCAGCCAATGTTCTGTGGTATACGCTTCCTCTAGGACATCAAGCTCAAAGTCTTTATTCCCAATCTCAGCATTTCGGACACGGTCAAAGCCTGGAGGACGCTCTAGAGAGGGATGAAAAAGAACACACTTCTTTCTACAGTGCCGATTTCCTAGAGAGACAGTATATGGAATCAGTACACCATCTACTGATTGAGTGATTATTCCTCAGTCTGCATTTTGGTGAGAGTAGAGCCTGCAAAAAATGGCATCAAGTAGTAAGGGCAAATCAACTGTTACCCTAAGTTCTATGCAAGATTATGCTTGGCAATCAATGTCTTATCTCTGCTAAGACAGACATAAGAGCTGACTTCCAAGGCCCTCTGTTCCTGAGGATTGTCATTCAGAGCCTCTAACACACTAGCAACCCTTGCATGGATCAGAGAAAAAAAACCTACCAGAAACCAAAGACCTGCATTCATGTCAGAAATTCTCCCTAGTGCAGAACCAAGAAATTGAAGTCAGGAGAGGCTTAACCTAATAAAATAACTCTCAATATCATCATCTGAAGATATGAAGTCACTTTCTCATCCTTTTGTTCCTTTCTTCACTATAATACAAAAGTAATGGTCAAAAGCACAGAACCTGGAGCCAGTCCTCGTCAGTTTGAATCCTGAACTCTGCCATTAGTTATGTGACAGTGGGCACTTAAATAACCTATCTGTACCTCAATTTCCTCGTATATAAAATAACAGGCCAGGTGTGGTGGCTCACACCTGTAATCCCAGCACTCTGGGAGGCTGAGGTAGGTGGATCACTTGCAATCAGGAGTTTGAGACTAGCCTCACCAACATGGTGAAACCCTATCTCTACTAAAAATACAAAAAGAAAATTAGCTGGGGGTGGTGGAGCACACCTGTATTTCCAGCTACTCAGGGGGCTGAGACAGGAGAATCACTTGAACCTGGGAGGTGGAGGCTGCAGTGAGCCAAGATCGCACCACTGCACTCCAGCCTGGGTAACAGAGTAAGACCTCATCTCAAAAAAAAAGTAGCTGGGTGCAGTAACTCATGTCTGTAATTCCAGTACTTTGAGAGGCCAAGACAAGAGGACTGCTTGAGCTCAGGAGTTCCAGACCAGCCTGGGCAACACAGTGAGACCTCGTCTCTACAAAAAGTTTAAACACAGCCAGGCACTGTGGTATGCAGCTTATTTCCAGCTACTCAGGAGGCTGAGGCAGGAGGACTGCTTGAGCCCTGGAAATCAAGGCTGCAGTGAGCCATGATTGCACCACTGCACTCCAGCCTGGGTGTCAGAGCAAAAACCCTATCTCAAAAAAATATGCAAACAATTAAAGATAATATGACAATAATATCATCATCTGCCTTTTAGATTGCTGTGAGTATTAAATGAGTTAACAGACATAAAGCACTTACTAGTGCTTGGAATACAGAAAATACTGTGTATTAGTAATCACTGTTATTACTATTGTTATTAATATTATGAATAACTCACTGGCTTCTGTGTAGACCTGTCCAAAGCGGTAGTAACACATCTTGTACATGAGGCAGTTGAGCAGCACTGGAGAACCTTCACGGTCTACACGGAACTCCCCAGTTGGAGTATAGTAGTCATTCTCCTTGATATGTTTGCCTGTATCTGTGCTCCCTCCAATCCGGACCATCCAAAGAAACTTGTTGATATCTAGGGGGAAAAAAAAAAACAAAAAACTGCTGCATCACAAAGATTGCTGGAGTTAAAGCAGGTTAGTAATTCTAAGAAAATTCCTCAACATTTCTTTAATGGGGATTGGTATCATTTAACTCTAATTTGTAAAAATAGCGAGGACAACATATAGGTAAAGCATTTTTCCTCAAAATACACAACCTTTCCTAAAAATTATTACACTCCTGAAATCCTATGCTACTAGTCCAGACTTAAGCCACAATTGAAATTGGTCCTATAGCTTAACTGGGCTAAGCTATCAAATATAGGAGCAATTAGCTACATGTAGCTGCTGAGCGGCTGAAATGTGGCTAGTCCAAATTAAGACATACTGTAAATATAAAGTTCACACTAGGTAAGTATGAATACAAACTAGATTTTGAAATCTTCGTCAAAAAAACCCCCAAACACAAAAGTCATATACTGGTTACATGTTAAATAATAATGTTTTGATATGATTATTCAGTTAAGTAAAATTATTAAAATTATTTTTACCTGTTTCTTTACACTTATTTTGATGTGACTAATATAAAGCTTAAAATGATAATGTGGTTCCCATTATATTCTATCAGACAGTGGACAGGACTGATCTAAAGAGTAGCAGCCTTACCAAAAAGGTAGACAAGACATGAGTGTGCTCCTGTTTGACCAACAGTTGCAAAGTTAGAGACCACCAAAGCATGTATATGGGAAGTCAACATTTCTGTGTCAAACACACTCCCATACTTGATAAATACTGACACTACTATCAACTCATGGTATCTCTTTGAGTTCACCATTCCCTGTATTGCTTCCATAGGCTTTAGGGAAATCAATTGCTACATGTTTTACTGGATGGTTAGTATTAAAAATACTTCTAATCCATAAAAAAAAAAATAAGATTTCTATTGCACTACTGCAAAGAGTTCCAGGAGATATCGCAGTGGTTAGGAAGACTCTGGATCCAAACTGCCTGAGTTTGAATTCCAGCACTACCCATTCTAGCCAGGTGACTGAGCAAATTATTTAACCTCTCTGTGCTTCAGTTTCCTTATCTGTCAAATTAGAAAAATAAGAGTATCTACAACAATAGGGCTGCTGTTATGAGTAATGACATGTGAAGCATTTAATAAGTTGTTTGTCACATGGCAAAAATCCAGTGAAAAATATGACTATCTTCAGGCAGTGTCTGCATTCTTATCTTGATCTTACAAATGGAAAAGCTGAGGCACAGAGACTTACCTAGATCACAGAGCCAGAAACAGGAGCAAAAACAAAACCCTAGAACATCAGTTCAGCTGTCATAGAGCAATAGTATTGTAGCTGCCCAGCAGGTATGGCTGAAGCATAAAACCCACAAGCTTTATGAATTGAAGACTGAAAATAACAGGAATGGCTGGGTGTGGTGGCTCATGCCTATAATCCTAGCACTTTGGGATGCTGAGGTAGGAGAATCGCTTGAGCACAGGAGTTTGGGACCAGCGTGGGCAATGTGGTGAAGTCTAATCTCTACAGAACTTAGCCGGGCATGGTGATGTGAGCCTATAATACCAGCTATAATACCAGGCTGAGGTGGGAAGATCACTTGAGCAGGGGAAGAATAGGCTGCAGTGAGCAGAGATCATACCACTGAATTCCAGCCTGGGTGACAAAGTGAAAACCTGTCTCAAAAATAATAATGATGATAATGATGATGATAAGAACTGCATGAAGGACAGCTCATTGTTCAAAAGATATGGTTGTCTACAAAAAAAGAAGTTGGGCCAGGCTCAACTTTTTTTATTTTTATTATATAATACCTCTCAAATGTTACAGAACTCCTATTAGTAAAGCCCAATAAATAATATGACCTTGAAAAATAAATTCAGTATAATAAATTAATCAATATGGTTGGCCTTCCACATCTGTGGGTTTGACATCTGTAAATTCAACAAACCTCAAATCAAAAATGTTCACAAAACAAAAAACCAGATGACTGCATCTGTAACATAGATTGATACTTTTTTTCTTGTCATTATTCCCTAAACAATACAGTATTAACAACTATTTACCTAGTATTAGGGATTAGCATTATAATCTAGAGATGATTTAAAGTATACAAGAGAATGTATGTATATTATATACAAATACTACACCATTTTATATAAGGGACTTGAGCATCCACAAATTTTGGTATCCTGATGGGAGGTGGGGGGATGTCCTGGAAACAATCCGCCATGGATACGGAGGGACAACTACACTGTCTTCTATGATTTTCACATATATGTTTTCATTTTTTTTGAGATGGGAGTCTCACTCTGTCACCCAGGCTGGAGTGCATGGCATAATCTAGGCTCACTGAAACCTCTGCTGCCCAGATTCAAGTGATTCTCCAGCCTCAGCCGCCCAAGTAGCTGGGATTACAGGCATGCGCCACCACACATGGTGAATTTTTCTATTTTTTTAGTAGAGACGGGGTTTCGCCATGTTGGCCAGGCTAGTCTCAATCTCCGACCTCAAGTGATCCACCTACCATGGCTTCCCAAAGTGCTGGGATTACAGGTGTGAGCCACCACACCCAGCCTTTGCACTGTTTTTTAATGGTTATCTTATTACCTTTTTTTTTTTTCTGAAGTGATTTTACCTTTATTTCCTTCACTTTAAGCCAATCATGAAATTTCAGTGATTTGTGGGGTGGGGACAGAAGGAAGGCAGTGTCAAAAATCACTGGGGCTGTGACCCAGTTGGCCCATGGAAGTGCAGGTAGGATGGGCCCTCACTGGGGCAGCTGGAGGAGCATGGACTGCCCCGCTGGTAGGTAGGTGATGTTCTGAGAGCCTGAGAGCTGGTATACGATATCCTCTACAGCTTCCAGCTTGCGCAGCTCAGTCAGGCCGTCCCCTTCGGTGGCCAGTGAGTTGGCACTCAGCTACCTTGGAGTTGCTTTCAGCAGAGATGATAGCCACCCTTTTCAGCTGCTCAGCCTTTTCCACCACAAATCTGGCCCTCTCTGCTTCCTGCTGAGCCACCTGTTTGGCTTCACCGCTTCTGTGAACTCCTTCCCAAAGTTCAGATGTGTCAAGGACACATCGTCCAGGATGAGCCCAAAGGTGGCTGCTCGCTCTGTGAGGTTGTCGCTCACCTGCCTGGTCATGGCAGCTCTTCTCTGGGTGATTAGTTCTCCAGCATCAAAGTGAGCCACCACTGACTTGAGGATCTCGGTCGTGATGGACGGCAGCAAACGCTCACCATAGTCCTCTCTGATGCTGGTGAAGATGCAAGGAAGCTGGCTAGCAACAGGCCCAAAAAGAATGCGCAGTGTGGCCGAGAAAGGCAGTCAAAGATAATTGGTTTCTGTATCCATAGGATGAGAAAGTGAGTCCCTTCCCCTACCACAATGTCCTGTACTCCTCAGAATCGGTCAGAGATGACAGCTCTGTGCCCAGCATCCACATTATATAAGGCAGAGTTCACCACACCTCTGCAACAGCTAAGGCCAGGCCAAACTTGCCAATGGACTCAAAAGCTTTGGCAGCCATGTTTTCTTCTGCTGTACTCTCATACCTGCTTCTAACTCTGACCTCCACATGAATTCACTATCTTCTTTAAAAAACAAAAAGTCTAACTCATATATCCCCTCCCAACAGGATATCAAAATTCCCAATCGCTTAAGTCCCTTATATAAAATGGTGTAGTATTTGTATATAACCTATGCACATCTGTCCATATACTTTAAATCATCTCTAGATCATCTATAGCACCTAATACGGTATAAATGCTATGTAAATAGTTGTTATACTGTATTTTTCATTTATATCATTTTTATTGTTGTATTATGATTTTTTTTTCACAAATATTTTCCATTTGTGGTTGGTTGAACCCACAGATGCAAAACCCACAGATATGGAGGGGAAACTGTATACGGTGTATTTAGAAATATGTGCTAGAACTACTAAAAGAAGTAGCTGCAGGAATAATTGTTTCTGTGTCTGATGTTAAGGGGGCTTAGATTTTGGGGCAGTGAACTATCATTTTTATTATAAACCTTCAGAACTGTTTAACTTTTTTCTTTTTGAGACAAGAGTCTCACTCTGTTGCCCAGACTGGAGTGCAATGGTGCAATCATAGCTCATTGCAAACTCGGCCTCCCGGGTTCAAGTGATTCTCCTGCCTCGGCCTCTTGAATAGCTAGGACTACAGGCATATGCCACCACGCCTGGCTAATTTTTGTAAAGACAAGATTTCACTATGTTGCCCAGGCTGGTCACGAACTCTTGACCTCAAGTGATCTGCCTACCTCAGCCTCCCAAAGTTCTGGGATTACAGGCCATGAGCCACGGCACCCAGCTGTGAACTGTTTAACTTTTTAAAGTATAAATACGCATTACATTAATTTTTAAGTCAGAGAACTACATTTGGAGATTTCTTCTAAAAATCTTTGTGCCAGGCCAGGCGCAGTGGCTCACGCCTGTAATCCCAGCACTTTGGGATGCCGAGGTGGGTGGATCATGTGGTCAGGAGTTCGAGACCAGCCTGGCCAAGATGTTGAAACCCCGTCTCTACTAAAAATACAAAAATTAGCCAGGCGTGATGGCATGCGCCTTACTTAGGAGGCTGAGGCAAGAGAACTGCTTCAACCTGGGAGGTGGAAGTTGCAGTGAGCAGAGATCACACCATTGCACTCCAGCCTGGGTGACAGTGTGAGACTCCATCTCAAAATATATAAATAAATAAATAAAAGTCTTTGTGCCAATAATCATAAGGCACACGGTAACCTCCATTTTACACATACTTTTATTTATATACATTGTATGTATATATTAGTATCCTTATGTTTATATTACATGTAAATATATATGTATATTTTTGCAATGTAAATATATACATATAATATATAATATATATTTTATATATATAAACATATTTAAAATGTTCTCTTTTTTTACACGCTCTTTTCAGGCCATATAAAACATTTCTAAGCTGGCCAATGATTATGACTTAAACCCACTAAACAAATGCTAATTCTTAAGTTCATTGTCATAAGCCTTATGTTCAGCTTGGTTTTATTACTGGTTGTGGAACTACTTCTATGCCTTACACAATCATATAGCATGCTGTGCCTACCTAAGAATTGTTTACATTTATGTCCTACTTGTTGCAAAAAAGAAAAAAATCAAAATACCAAAACATCACGCTGCAAATACTTAGGAACTTCCCATGCAAGAAAAATATCTTGGTAAAATATCAGTAAAGTATAGAAAACTAGGAGATTTATCTAATTTTCTTAGAATCTATATCCTGCAGCTAAAAATAGAATCAAGTATATTACCATCAGAGGAATACCCAGTGAGGCCTCCAAAAATGACTAGCACATAGCTGACATCAAGCTCCCTCATGATCTCATAGGCTTTTTCCTCTGTGGACGCCATTGCCTGGAAAAACAAATGTACAATTTTCAGAGCACAATACCAAGTTATATGATCCCCTCATGCAGACATATTTCCCACTAGACCTTGCACACCAAACACTCAAAGATCCGTTTATCTTACCTGCCCTACTCGAGAAATGTGGGTATTATTCCATGTGTTATTGTCTACTAAAATTGTTCGGTTTGCCATAGCTGTAATCTGATAGCCATAATCCCACCAGGACATGACCTTCGCATCCTGAAAGTAGAATGGGAAATGGAAATAATAAGCTTCTCACTATCTCTAAAAATCAAATGCAATAGAGAAGGCATCTTTGGTCTGACAGAAGTGATGCCTGGCTAACTAATCTATTTCTTCACAAAGTAATGCAGGTCTAACCAGAAAACAAATTCTGGCACCTGGTCTTCCATTTATATACAATCATAAAATCTCAGCGCAAATAACAAAGCAACATTCCCAATACTTCATCCCAGATCATTTTATACAAACAAACATAGGGAGTGGGAGGTGTGGGAGACTGTGCAATAGAGCCACATCAATAGCCTAGTGTCATTTGACAATTTTCTTAAATAATCTTTAACAGAATCACAAAATACAGTTATTATTACAGAGTGGAAACTCAAATCACAGGATATGATAGACAAGAAATAAGAGACTCTAAAAAGTTTTGATTCCTAACAAATTGTCTTAGAAATGCTATTCCTAATAGTTATTGTAAAGGAAATCACTTCAGATTCTCAAAAGGTATAATTATAATATTAAAAACAGTTATCATAAAGTAATCACTTTACACAAGATTTATATTTTTCAATTTCAAGGCGGGTGGGTCACGAGGTCAAGAGATCAAGACCATCCAAAAAAAAAAAAAAAAAGATTTATATTTTTCTTCTTGCTTCAATTTTCTGATTTTTGTAAAGTGCACATGTATTTATCTATAACTTTTTTCTTCTTTTATAACTGGGATTTTCTACTTCATTTAAAAATCATCATAACAATAAAAGTATCCACACAATGTCTAGATAATTACTAGTAAGAGTAACTATAAAAGATCCCTTAATTAAATGGAGGTTCACCTTTAAGGCTCATTTAAGACTAGAGTTGCAAAGTTCCAATTTCACCAAGCTTTCCACCCATTTAAAAGCTATATGATTCACTATAACATCAAATGTCTCCCCCTTTGCCCCTAACCCACAATTCCCATTCCTCCCAAATCTTTACCTCTGGAGTATTGTGACGAAGCCAGTAATATGCTTCTCGGAAGTCATCAAAGATGATCCTACTGCCATCCCCACCACGGGCAGACAGCACAATGGACGGAGAAGAGTAGGCCTCACTGGTCACCCAGGTTGAATGAAAGGTGTAGGTGATGAGAAAGAAAGCCATGACCAGTATCATCCCACTTGCCACCTAAAAAGGGAAAAAGAATTAATTATGTAATTAACCAAACTAAATTTACACAACACAGGACAACTTCTTAGACACATTCAATAACATAGATAAGATTGATCAAAACAAGTCAGAGGATGTATGAGTTAATTCTGACCACCTATATGACAGTGCTCTACTTTAGTCCCCGCCCCAACACACACACACATACACACACACACAGAGTTGCCCAAATCTATTCTTAGCATCACTTAATTCTCACTTCATTCTTAATAGGGTAGGTAGAGTCCTGCTGCTTCTTGCTCTTCTTGTCTGGACGACTTATGTCCAGATTCTTCATGTATGTGGACAGCACCTGGGAGACTCCAATGCCAGAAAGAATGCACATAACAGGTGCCAACACTAGCATTAGACGCACCTAACAGAGACAGGAAGCATCATTAGTCTAATCAGTTCAACAAATTACAAATTTCAGCCTATTAGCAGATCAAGATATTAATTTAGGAGTTTTTGTCAAACATGACTTCCATGAAAAGTGAAAGAGAAAACACTTAAAACAGTTACAGTATAAGTATATATTTCTTAAACTGTTTCAATTACATGCATGTACATATGTATATGTGTCTTGAACAATAATATGATATAGTTTATTTCGTAACTGTGGTCTGAGATGAAAAAAGTATTAGAAACACTGTTTTACTACAATATACGAAATCCCTCCTCTCTTTTGACAATCGAGCACTGGGTAATACTCCCATGCCTTCAAGAAAAAATATCACCTCCCGTTTTAAGACACCCAGGGGCATATTTTCCAAAAGGACCTATTTTCCAACAAAGTGCAAAAGTGCTTTTATAATACAAAGTTATAAATTCAAGAAAGTTGGACCCCACAACCAGAATGTATGAGTGTCCCAAACATTCTGGGAAGGATCAACAACAGCAAGCAGCTTTACAACTCAGTCCCTCAAATGCTCAGAGAGAAGCATGAGCACAATCATCAGTACTTTCTGAATTCTGCCAGGCAGATAAAAAGCACCTCAGAAATACAGTGAAAACGTCTGCCAGACTGAGGGTATTCCTCACCATTACAGCTGAAAAGTACATGCTGGTCACACCATACATGATGATAAAAATCCGGGCATCAGACAGGTTGCTAAAGCAGTAATAGAGGCCAACTACAAAAGAGGGAAGGAGAAATAAGCAGCTGAGTCCTGTAGGTCGAAACCTACAAGGGAAAGTATCTTCATTATATAACTGGATGATTCCACACATTTAACCCAGCAATTCCACTTCCAGGAATTTATCCTAAAAAAAAATCATAGAAACATGCAAAGATGTTTACTATAGCACACTATAATAGCAAAAAACTCAGAAACAATCTAAATGTCCAATAACAAGGAGCTAAGTATAGTTTATTTATTTATTTATTTATTTATTTATTTTTGAGACAGAGTCTTGTTCTGTCGCCAGGCGCCAGGCTGGAGTCCAATGGCACGATCTCAGTTCACTGCAACCTCTGCCTCCTGAATTCAAGCAATCCTCCTGCCTCAGCCTCCCAAGTAGCTGGGACTACAGGCATGCGCCACCATGCCCAGCTAATTTTTCTATTTTAGTAGAGACAGGGTTTCACCATGTTGGCCAGGATGGTCTCAATCTCTTGACCTCATGATCCGCCTGCCTCAGCCTCCCAAAGTGCTGAGATTACAGGCATGAGCCATAGCATCCCGCCTAATTATAGTGTATTTATAAAATGGAATATATCAATTAAAATATTGCCACATGAGATTATGGACCATTTGCCTTCTTACACATCTCTGTACTTAAAAAAAAAAAGTGATATATTTTAAGTATTTCTATAAAATAATACTAAATAACAGAAAGTTAATTCTTTATGAAGTAAAAAAAAAAATCAAGGAAAAGAACTATGGTCTCATTCTTATTCAATAAATAATGATAAATATACATCAAAATGTTAACAGTGGCTAGAGATAGGTAGTGAGAACTCCAGAATATTTACCTGTTTTGAGATGGGGTCTTGCTGTATAACCAAGACTGGTCTCAAACTCCCAGGCTCAAGTAATCCTTTTACCCAAGCCTTCCAAGTAGCTGGGACTACAGGTGCACACTACCATGCCCAGCTTATTTATCTTACATGTGTGTGTGTGTGTGCACGCGTGCGTGTGTGCATGCATGCGCACATTATGTGTTGTTTTCTTTTAAGTAGAGACAGGGGTCTCACTATATTGCCCAGACTAATCTTGAACTCCTAGCCTCAAGCAATCCTCCCACCTCAGCCTCCCAAAGTACTGGGATTACTGATGTGAGCTACAACTCCACGCCTGTTTTAATTTTTTTAGACTTGGGTCTCACTATGTTCCCAGGATGACCTCAAAGTCCTGACCTCAAGCGATCTTCCCACCTCAGCCTCCTAAGTGGCTAGAATTATAGGCATGAGCCACTGTACTGGCATCTTTTTCTTTTTTACTCATTTATATATATTTATATATTTATATATATATATATATATTTTTTTTTTTACAACACACAAATTACTTTTAAAATAAGAGAAAAGTAAAAGTTGGCCAGGCAAAGTGGCTCACAACTGTAATCCCAGCACTATGGAAGGCCAAGGCGAGCAGATGGCTTGAGCCCACAAGTTTGAGACCAGCCTGGACAACATGGTGAAATTCCATCTCTACAAAAAAAAAAAAAAAAAAAATATTAGCTGGGCATGATGGCATGCACCTGTAGTCCCAGCTACTCAGGAGAGTGAAGTGGAAGGATGGCTTGAGCCCCAGAGGCAGAGGCTGCAGTAAGCGAAGACCGTACCACTGCACTCCAGCCTAGGCAATAGAGCAAGACTCTATCTCAAAAAAAAAAAAAAGTAAAAGTTATTTTTTAAGAGAAAAAGACCACTGGTAAATTCTAAAACACATCTGGATTGGCCAGAAGATAGATTGATGAGGCTTTACAATTAGCAGTACTCATTATCAGACTTCAATACTGCCAAGAGGGGAAACAGGGGTAAAGGGCTGCCCTTTACCCCTGATTTGGAGCATGATAGAAATACTCAAAAAAAAACAAAAAAAAAAATAAAGAAAAACACCTGAGTAAAAATTACAGTTAAATTTTAACTCATAACACAAATGACATAGGCTTTGAAACTGCCAGTATCTACAAATATTGAACTTCTGTTACTCTATTGCTTCATATGAGAAAATTTACTTAGCTATCCTCTGTATTACAAAATATAAACAGGCAAAGAAAAACAAAACATGAATGAGGGTAGCTTAGAAATCTGGAATCAAATGGTGATTCTTACAAACAAGGCCATTTCAGAACACAAGGCCACATACCTGGAAACATGAAGACGAGGAGCTGCAGGTCAAAATAGTATGAGGACCAGGTTGTGGGCTGATGCTCAGACACAGAAGCAATGATGGGGATGTTGTTCTTAGCATAAGAAGGATCCAGCAGTGAGTAGAAACGCCCCGTCCAGGGAGATATTTTTCCTGGCAGCAAAGAGGCAATAAACATTCCACACATACTCTTCAAACAAACATCTGATCCTAATTAATCAAAACTTCCCATTTTAGTAAGATTCTCAGTGACAGAGAAGGATTAGGTTTTTGCTTAATTGCCACCAATATTTAGAGAGTTTCATTCCTTTCTTTCTTCCAAACCTGAGAGTACTTTTGTCAGCACTGGCAACAGAATAAAGCCAGGCTGTGTATAAACTTGGAGAGAAGAATAGCGGCAGAAATGCTACCTGAAAGGGTTTTAGGCCAAATTTGGTCAAGCCAAGGCCAATTCTAGGGACTAAATCAACTATATCCTCAGGTCCTGCTCTGAATTAGTCAACAGATAGACTTGAGCAAAATCAAATTAATCTGTGAGAAACAAAATTAGGAAAAATGAAGAAGGAAAATGTGGCCTTTCAACCAACTAAACAGCCATGATTTAGTTTCCATGGGATTAGATGAGTGCCACCTTGGAAGGTACGGTAAGCAATATAATGACTTCTCCCACCTGACCAATAGAAAAGAAAAAAAAGAAAGGAAAAGGAGAAAGATTTGCAAGCTAAGATCTAGTTCTTTCACCAGGTGTGATTAAGAGCGACTCCAACAAGACATTCTCTTCGATGCTGAATCCAAACACTGGGCTGAAAAGTAGACTGAATGTAAAAATGTAGGATTGTATATGCTTCAAATGAAAACAGAAGTAAGAAAAGAAGAATCCTTTGTGGTCAAAAAAATACCATCTTTGGAGTTTATTCTATATCTGTACCTAAATGTATTTAATAATAAAAGCTGTGAGCCTGGCTGGGCATGGTGGATAACTCCTGTAATCCTAGCACTTTGGGAGGCCAAGGTGGGCAGATCACCTGAGGTCAGGAGTTCGAGACCAGTCTGACCAACATGGAGAAACCCTGTCTACTAAAAATACAAAATTAGCCAGGCATGGGCTGAGATTGTGCCGTTGCACTCCAGCCTGGGCAACAAGAGCGAAACTCAACCTCAAAAACAAAAAAGCTGTGAGCCTTCCCTACCTGTAAGCATGAGGAGAGTTCCCACAGTGAGAAGGACAAAGCCTACGAGAGAGATGACGCTCCGGAAAAGAACTTCAAATTGTTGTGGATTCAACTTGCTGCGCAGGTAATCCACAAAGGCATGGATCTGGCAGAGACCAAAGACTCCAAAGGCTGCCATGTGCTCTGATGAAAGGACAGGCTGTAGGTAAAAGGATATGTATGTTAATATTTAAAAAAAAAAATTGAGTAAGTCCAGCCCAGGCCTGCATTATCCTTATCTAGTTCAAACCAAACGGGTCAAATGAGTTCTGAGGCCCCAAAGGAACCAGGGCAAATCTAGGGAAGGGTTTAATTCAACCAGTCATATTTTCTAAAGTATTTGGAGCCCCCTAAGGCATAAGATACACTATCATTATCACATCTCTGGCTTTTGTTCAGGTTATTTACTCAGCGTAGACTGTAATTTTCCCCCAATTCCCATCCACTAAAATTCTCATCATTCAAGGTTCAACTCAAATATCATCTCTTCCTAATAATCTGCCAAACTGAAATCAATCACTCCTATGTTCCATATCACATTAGTATCTTCTAGCATTTAATCATTCTTTGCCTTAGAGCAGTGATTCTCAAATGCTAGTGGGCATTGTAATAACTAAGGGGGTAGGAGTGTTAAAATGCAAATTGCTGAGCCCCACCTTGAGTTTCTGATTCAGTAGGTCCGTGTTGGGGCTCTAGAATTTGCATTTATTTCTAACAAGTTCCTAGATGCTGCTGTTGATAATGATACAAGAGCCACACTTCCAGAACTGTAGCCTATCGAATGTAGACAGCTGCCTGTATTTCTTTCCCCGCATCAAGACCAAGACTTCCTTAAAAACCATGACCATATTTTTATTCTTTTTACATTTTCAAGTGATTAGCAAACTGCATATACAAATGCTTTTCAACTTATGATTGGATTATATCTCAATAAACCCATTATAAGTTGAAAATATCCTAAGTAGAAAATGCATTTAATATGCCTAGCCTACGGAACACCATAGCTTAGCATAGAGTATCTTAAACATGCTGAGAACATTTAACATTCGCCTACAGTTGGGCAAAATCATCTAATACAAAGCCTATTTTATCCTAAGCATTGAATATCTCATGTAATTTATTGACTACTGTTTTGAAAGTGAAAAACGGAACGGTTATATACGTACTGGAAGTACAGTTTCTACTGAATGTGTATCACTGTCACACCATTCTAAAGCCAAAAAATCCTAAGTCAACACTTCCTAAGTTGGGGCCAACCCGCGGTAGGTGATCAGTAAATTAATACTTGTTGGCCAGGCACGGTGGCTCATGCCTGTAATCCCAGCACTTTGGGAGGTCGAGGCAGGCAAATCATCTGAGGTTGGGAGTTCAAGACCAGCCTGACCCACATAGAGAAACCCTGTCTCTACTAAAAATACAAAAAATTAGCTGGCATAGTGGCGCATGCCTGTAATCCCAGCTACTCGGGAGGCTGAGGCAGGAGAATCACTTGAACCCAGAGGCGGAGGTTGTGGTGAGCCAAGATCACACCATTGCACTCCAGCCTGGGAAACGAGCAAAACTCCATCTCAAAAAAAAGAAAAAGAAAAAGAAAAAGGAATTACTTGTTGACTTCTAAATAAGGTTTGTACTTTAATAATTTCACAAGAAAAATCAAACACACCACGTTATTCTCTAACTCTTGTCTGTTAACCCTACATAGCAATGTTGTTAAAGGTTTGTGCTTTACTTCCTGAAGGACTTACAATTAGATGCCATTAAGATCAGGATCCTCTGCTACTACACGGAGCCATCTACATTAAAAGGACTGGAAACTTTAACTATGATCACTTATCTAAACTCAGCTCAACTAAATTTTCCTCCCCTTCCCACAAACTTAAAGCCAAAGTAAGAACTATGAAATTCAAACTGCAAGAAGCAAATGCTAACACACCACAGGACACAAACTTTAATGACCAATAATTAACACAAGTAGTTCAATATAAAAGCTGTGAATATGGCGAAGCTCAGTGGCTCACGCCTGTAATCCCAACACTTTGGGAGGCCAAGGTAGGCGGCTCACCTGAGGTCAGGAGTTTGAGACCAGCCTGGCCAACACGGTGAAACTCCGTCTCTACTAAAAATGCAAAAATTAGCTGGGTGTGGTGGCAGGTAACTGTAATCCCAGCTCCTCAGGAGGATGAGGCAGAAGAATCACTTGAACCTGGGAAGTGGAGGCTGCAGTGAGCCGAGATCACACCATTGCACTCCAGCCTGGGGGACAAGAGTGAGACTTCATCTCGAAACAAAACAAAACAAAAGCTGTGATTAAGTTGTATTGTTCTTAACAGAATCCAAGATAAATCAGTCTAGTTGGGGCTGCACAGAAAAAGTAGAAGCTGAAAAACCTACTCAGTCAAAGACTCACCTGGAAACCCACAAAGGAGATCTGCATAGAAAGTATAGTGCCCAGGCAGTAAACAGTACAGTAGGCCACGTAGATCCGGTGGGAGAAACGGCCTGTGAGCATGAGCACCAGGACATGGAGAGGAATCAAGTTGATCAGAAACACATAACCTCCCCATGACGAGACCTACGATAGAACAGAAAAAAACAGTTCCTCTGAGCATGCCTCCTTAGACCACTATACCGTAGGATATCACCTGTGACTTTAAAGAACACCCTTTATAGTAACTGTAACTTTATTTATGCCAAATGGCTTAATAAATATTTTTTTTAAACAGGAAAATCAAGTTCTTACATGTACACGTTACACAAAATAAAACAAGTTTAAAAATAGAAAATCAAGTTCAAACTCAACACTGTAACTCAATCCCCTGCTCCCTTGTGGTTGCTGATGTCATGACCACATAATGAGAGGGACTTAAGCCTCAGAATTAATCTAAATACAATCATTGTAAGGTCATATAGAGGATTTAGGGATATGTGAACAAGTAGAAGCAATTAAGGAAGTCTACATATATACGTAAGTATGAACAGAAAAAATATACTGGAAAAGAAAAAAATTTAGGGGAACCTACCAGAAAAGAGAATCGAATAAAAAAAAAAAGAAAGAAAGTTGGTCAAATAATAAGTACCCATAGGAAATACAGTATTTAGAGAACTTTAAAAATTAAAAACATATAGAAAAATTTACCATGTAGAAATAAGCAAGGGCACACTTAGCTGCCCAACAGATAGAACCAGTCTTTACTGCCTTGATCCACATGTAGTAGGTGAGTAGCATGCAAAAGATGGCAATTCCTGCAGAAAGGACATACCAAGAATTCAATAAGAGGCCAGGCTAGTATAGTGATTAAGAATATTGTTCTGGAACAGACTGCCTGGATCTACTACCAGTAATAGTGTAATTTTAGGCAAATTATTTACCTCCTTTTGTTTCAGTTTCATGTAAAAAGAAGTAATAGTATCTACTTCGTAAAAGTGCTCTGAAGACAAATATAACTAATGCTTATAAAGCACTTAGGACAGTGCCTAGCATATAATAAACACTAAGTAAATATTGGCCATTATTATCATTCTTTCCAAGCACTAAACATCCTGCTAGGATAATCCTAAAGACATCATATACTACTATTCATCATCCTGCCTCTACGTCTTAACATAGCTAATACTCATGCTCCAATTGCCTCTTTCCTTGATATCTGCCTAATGAAGTTTCAACTTTAGGACCCAGCTGAACCTTAACCACTTCCAAAAAGCGTTCCTTGATTCCCGAATTTGCTTTTGGTTTTGTTTTTCTAAACAGGGTCTTGCTCTATTGGCAGGCTGAAGTGCAGTGGTGATCACAGCTTGCTGCAGCCTCAACCTCCCAGGCTCAAGCAATCCTCCCACTTCAGTCCTCTGGGTAGCTGGGACTACAGGCACATACTACCATGCCCAGCTAATTTTTGTATTTCTTGTAGAGACAGGGTTGCCCAGGGTGGTCTCAAACTCCTGAGCTCAAATGATCCACACACCTCAGCCTCCCAAAGTACTGGATTATAAAGCATGAGCCACTGAGCTCAGCCCCAAATCTGAATTAATATCTCCATTCCAGAGTACATTCCTGAAGTACTCTGTCAAATTTCTATCATGGCACACAGTGCTATCTACTGTCACTGAGTCATATTTATATGTCCATTTTAATCTTCCTTAATATATTATGGGCCAATATAACCTTATTCATTATTTATCTCTCTAATTTCTTATAATTATGCCAAAAAAATCTTATTATCTATCTTTCTAACACTCAATACTATGTTTTCCCAATAACATTCATTAAGTGTATGTTGAATTGAAAACAAGTCAATAAGTCATTAAAATTTTAAGGACATTTATTCGCTTTATCTAGAAAAATAAAGCAAATGATTATGTTAAAACAACAGTTAACTATTTTATGAGTACAGAGAGGAACCAAAGATTTGTAAAGGACGATGGGAAGAGAATATGAACTTGTCCAAGATCCCTTCCTGCCCATTTCTAATCTTCTAACCCAGATACCATTTTTATTAGTGCTAAGCCACAGATTGCACTTTATGAAGCTCTGATGGATAATGAGGTGAGAAGATCATTTTTAGCATTTTAAAAGTCTCACCTTCATTATCATAGGAGCCAGCCACAGATCGGGAAATATATCCAGGAACTACAGCAATCATGGCAGCAGCAAGAAGCCCAGCCCCTGCATCCTGTAAGAAAAAAAGGGCATTAAGACATTAACACCAATGCAGCTCTGAGAAAGAATAGAGGATCCACTAGTCCATTCTGTTTATAATGGGCCCAGAAAACAGTCCCACAATTTCCAAGGTAGATGTGAGATGTCGGAAATGGTAGGAATGCCAGGATGCAGTGGCTCACGCCTGTAATACCAGCACTTTGGGAGGCTGAAGCGGGCTGATCACCTGAGGTCGGGAGTTCGAGACCAATCTGATCAACATGGAGAAACCCCATCTCTGCTAAAAATATAAAAATTAGCCAGGTGTGGTGGCGCATGCCTGTAATCCCAGCTACTTGGGAGGCTGAGGCAGGAGAATCACTTGAACTCGGGAGGCAGAGGTTGCAGTGAACCAAGATCATGCCATTGCACTGCAGCCTGGGCAAGAAGAGTGAAACTTCATCTCAAAAAAAAAGAAGAAAAAAGAAATGCTCACAGCACAAGAAAGCTAAAAACTTCATGACCAATTCCCTATGACACTAAACCTGACACTGAGAACACATATGCTGAGGACAGACAAATCAAGTGAGATGTCAAACATCAATACTGCCCCGGAATGGGCTGTTTGGCTACCAATCTCGTCAAGCTTGTAAGTCTCTACTTCTAACAACATCTGCACATCACTGCAACATAGGTCACATCTCTACAACTCATGCAAGGACAATCAAAGGAAGAAAAATTATTTCAGTTAAAAAGCCAACAAAATTAAGTGATAATGTGCCTAAACCAAAGATGCCAATAAAGCTTAAGTATCACCAGGCACCCTTTGACCTCAGAAGAAAGGAGCAACAGATGTAAGCCACATTCCAAAAAGCAAAGACTTGTCTGTTGAAAAGAGTCAAATTTGGGAAAGGGCAGCAAGGAGAAGGATGAAAAGTTTTCCAAACTAAATTCAGGCTTCCCAAACCCCCTACTGGTTTATCACCTCTCAGGTATCTCTCTAACACCACAGCACAAACTAAGAATAGCACCCAGGGAGCCAAGGTCAGCAATGCTGAAACATGGAAAAAGAGAGTCAGCATTATGGAGTCTACTATGTAAGCCAAATGGCTTAAGAATTTTAAGATAATTTTTTTTAATCAACAAATAATTTCTGAGTGCATTCCTGGTAGGAAAAACTAACCATTTTGGGAAGTTTCATGTATGTAGTTTTTGTTCCTCTCTTTTACACTGTGAGAACTTCAACCAAACATTTTGATTTTCCATTTTAAATGTTTTTTTCCTTTACGTAGCAATTTACATTTCACTTCCAACTATTCCCTCATAAGGATAAACAGTTACTAATGATAAAAAATCACATATTCCAGCCGGGCGTGGTGGCTCAGGTCTGTAATCCCAGCTCTTTGGGAGGCCAAGGCAGGTAGATCACCTGAAGTTCAAGATCAGCCTGGTCAACATAGTGAAACCCCATCTCTACTAAAAATAAAAAAAATTAGCTGGGCGTGGGAGTGCAGGTGCCCATAATCCCAGCTACTTGGGAGGCTGAGGCAGGAGAATCGCTTGAACCCGGGAGGCAGAGGTTGCAGTGAGCTGAGATCACACTGTTGCACTCCAGCCTGGGCAACAAGAGCAAGATTCCATCTCAAAAAAAAAAAAAAAAAAAAAAAGGGAAAAGGGAAAAGGCTAGGCATGGTGGCTCACTCATGTAATCCTAGCACTTTGGAAGGCTGAGACAGGTGGATCACCTGAGGTCAGGAGTTCAAGACCAGCCTGACCAACATGGAGAAACCCTGCCTCTACTAAAAATGCAAAATTAGCCAGGTGTGGTGGCACATGCCTGTAGTCCCAGCTACTCAGGAGGCTGAGGCAAGAGAATCACTTGAATCCAGGAGGCAGAGGTTGTGGTGAGCCAAGATCACGCCATTGCACTCCAGCCTGGGCAAGAAGAGCAAAACGCTGTCTCAAAAAAAACACATACACAAATATTTCAGAAAGGGGTTGGAATGAACCCAATTAATTCAGCCCAGTAAAAGTTGTCTTTATCCTCTGGCTCCCTACCTTTCTAAGGCTCTGTCCCCCACCCTCCAGCATCTATTCAAAGGCTCAATAACATTCATTCCCAAGCCTCCTGTCACCCCAAATCCTTCACCTTGAGCTCTTTGGTAAGGTGGTACGTGACGATGGTGGTGAAGGAGGAGAAGAGAGGGGCCAGGAACACACAGACATTCCGAATGTCGATGGTGATGTGGAAAAAATGGAGTACATGGTAGATTGCAGCAGAGGTGATCATTAAACCTGTAACAGGAAGAAGAAACTCCATTAGGTTGTCTTACCAGAATGTAAGGGAAAAAGAAAGGGAAAGTCCCAGCATCAATAAAGTGACTATGTAAGTCTTGACAAATCACCAGAAATACTAATATAGCAACTGCAGTAAGCCTATAAATTTCTCTCCTAAGGATTCAATCAGAAGTCTAGAATGTATAAAAATCGCCCATCTCTACACTCCTACAAATGTACTCCTATCTAAGTAAGATGCACTTTTAGGAATCTGTAATCAAAATGAAATCACAAGTGACACAAGACAAACCTGTTAGAAATAAAAGAAACTGTTCTCTAGCATACAAATATTTGCTTTAAAAAAAAAAAAAATCTGGTCTCCTCACCTGGGTAAATTGTTCCTCCAATGATTCGTCCCAAAGGGTACCAAGCCCGGTCATCAAACCAGTTATGGAATTTATAAAACCCCTCCTCAGCCAGGAACCTGGTAGTCCGATAATTAAAGTACCTATAGCAAGAAAGAAACTTTGTTGTGAATTTATGGTGAATTTTGCTCCTCAGGATACACCATTGAGAAACTCAGCACTACTCAATGAAAAATCAGTTTAGCATCAAAAATTATGCCATGGAATCATTTTCACAACCAGAAGTCTGTTTATTTCTAGCTCCATACTTGTCTCAACTAACGCATTGTTTCTCTCATGAGGAAATGAAACTGGAGCCTAACATTATAACAAAGTAATCAAATGGGATATTTCATCAAGCTGACATGTGGTAGCCATTAGGACCAGTCAGAGAATTCAAGCACCCTGAAGACAAAGCCACTGAGATGTAGGCACCGACAGATTTTGGCTTTCAAGTGACAGGAACATATTTTTAAAAATTTATACTGCACACAAAGACACACCGATAATTTCCAGTGATAAGCATCTTTAAAGATGTTGGTACACACCATCATATGTAGGATGAAAAATTTTTAACCTACTCCATAACACAAATTCCTTAATCAGTGTTTAAACTTTTAACAAGGTTTACTCATGCAGTTATGTAAAATGCTTCTTATGTCACCTATATAGTAGCATAAAAATATAGATTACAGCTGGGCAGAGTAGCTCATGCATGTAAGCCCAGTACTTTGGGAGGCTGAAGTGGGAGGATCACTTAAGCCCAGGAGTTCAAGACTAGCCTGAGCAACATAGTAAGACCCCATCTCTACAGAAAAATTTTAAAAAATTAGCCAGGTATGGTGGCACACACCTATAGTCCCAGCTACTCAGGAGGCTGAAGTGGCAAGACTGCTTGAGCCCAGGAGGTCAAGGCTGCAGTGAGCCATGATCGCAACACTGTACTCCAGACTGGACAACAGAGCAAGACCCTGTCTCAAAAAAATAGATAGATGGACAGACAGACAGATGGATAGATAGATACACAGACAACATGAAAAGTATTTGATATAAAATGCTTAAGAGCTATAAATGGAAAGACAGTTCTTTAGGCCCAAAATATGTAAGCCCTTCTCTTAAGTTTCTCATTTAAAAAGAAATAAGGCTGGGTAAGGTAGCTAACACCTGTAATCCCAGTACTTTGGTAGGCCAAGGCAGGTGGATCACTTGAGCTCAAGAGTTTAAGACCAGCCTGGGCAACACAGCAAGACCCTGTCTCTAAAAAAATACAAAAATTAGCAGGACTTAGTGGCACACACCTGTAGTCCCAGCTACTTGGGAGGTTGAAAGAAGAAGACAACCTGAGCCCAAGGAGGTTGAAGCTTCAGTGAGCCCTGATCATGCCACTGCACTCCAGTCTGGTGATAGAGCAAGACCCTATCTCAAAACCAAAAATTAATAATAATAATAAATAAAAATAAACAAGAGGCTGGTGCAGTAGTTCATGCCTGTTATCCCAGCACTTTGGGAGGCTGAGGTGGATAGATCGCTTGAGCACAGGAGTTTGAGACCAGCCTGGGAACATGGTAAGACCCAATCTATAAAAAAAATACAGAAATTAGCCGGACGTGGTAGTAGGTGCCTACAGTCCGAGCTACTTGGGGGGCTGAGGCGGGAGGATTGCTTGAGCCCAGGAGGTTGAGGCTGCATGTGCCATAATTGAGCCACTGAACTTCAGCATGGGCAACGTAGCAAGACCCTGTCTCAAAAAAAAAAAAAAAAAAAAAAAAAAACGGCAGACAGACAAAAATAAAATAAACAAAAAGAGCCTCAAACTAGAGATAGGTTAATTACTACAGATAATCATGACTAACCATCCTCTCTGCCCACCTTTCTAACCCTATTTCCTCCTTGGTTAGTCAAGTTTTGAAAGCTGAAGTAAACAGAAGCAACAGATGGCAGAAATCTCTATCTTTCTGTTTGTCACTAATATTATTTTGGTGACTGTCAGAAACAGAAGAGACGAGGGTTGCCGGCATCAATATGTGTGAGAATTGTGTCCTTTACCTACCAGTAGGAGAGGTAGAGTGAGAGAGAGGAAGTATAAGTTAGTAGAAATAGGTCTGGGCTGGGTTCACCACTCTGGGCATCAGTTTACTCCTCTGCAAAAGGAAGTGTCAAGTCCTTTATGGTCCCTAAAGCTCTTGACAACAAAACAGATGCTCTTGCTTTCCCTGATTATCTATCATTATTTGCTCATCCAGAGGGTCTGAGAAAGAAGTCTAACAGATTGGGATCAAGAAACAAAAGGAGGTCAGGCATGGAGGCTCACGCCTATAATCCCAGTACTTTGTGAGGCCAGGGAGGGAAGATTGTTTGAGCTCAGGAGTTTGATACCAGCCTGTGCAACATGGTGAGACTCTATCTCTACAAAAAATTTTTTAAAAATTAGCCAGGCATGGTGGCATATGCCTGTGGTCCCAGCTACTTGGGAAGCTGAGGTGGGAGGATCACTTGGGCCCCAGAGGTCAAGGCTGCAGTAAGCCACAATCATGCCACTGCACTTCAGCTTGGGTGACAGTCAGACCCAATCCCAAACAAAAAAAGAAAAAATAAAAGGATAGGTTTCCTCATTCATGAGAAAAAGTATAAACTGATTTGAGAGGCCCCAAATAGAATACTTGTAATGCCTCCAAAATACTTTCAAATATCTACACAAAATTAAAAATTTGCAGGCATTTTGAATCAATACTCCACAAGCTTGAATATACTGTGTTTAAGATGTCAATAATATTTCAAGAGCCAATGATTTTGGTCCTCCAAGTTTGTTATAAGCCTTAACTTTAGGCAATATAACAAAGTGACTCCAATCTCTGGAGTCAGACAAATGTATATTTAAATCTTGGTTCCTCCATGTACTGAATATGTAACCTTAGATAACCATTACCAGCCTAAGTCTCCTTATTTCTTTTTTTGGGACAGAGTCTTGCTCTGTCACCCAGGCTGGAGTGCAGTGGTGTAATCTCGGCTCACTGCAACCTCCACCTCCCAGGTTCAAGCGATTCTCCTGCTTCAGCCTCCCAAATAGCTGGGATTACAGGCACATGCCACCACACTCAGCAAATTTTTGTATTTTTAGAAGAGACGGGGCTTCACTATGTTGGCCAGGCTGGCCTTGAACTCCTGACCTCGTGATCTGCCTGCCTTGGCTTCCCATGGTGCTGGGTTACAGGCGTGAGCCACTATGCCCCACTGAGTCTCGTCATTGCTAAGAAGGGAATAAGAGTACCTACATCTCAAAGGGTTGCTAAAAGGATTTAGAGATAGTCTGTAAATTAGTGCTCGGAACAAAATGAATGCTTAGTAAATGGTAGTTATTAATACCACTAAGGACTTCCATTATATCTTTTTCATCTGATGAACAAAACTCCCAATCAAACTGATAACTCTGAGCTTTTGGCATTGCCCTAGAATTTAACTAAGAAGCCCAACTTCTATCACAAAAACTGCTAAACAAACAAAAAATGTCATGAATCTCAAATCCATGATTTGTGATTCTCTTCTGAGCCTGGAATATACACCAGGACCCTTTCCTTTAATCTGCAAACTTTTACCAAACTGAGCAGCCAGAATTCTCTTAGCCTATCCAGATCTTAAATGATAGGGAGACATACTAGCAATGCATCTCACATTTGTTGAGGTTGAGATTTACTTGGTCAATTCCAACACATGCTTTTTTTTTTCTATAGAGATGGGGTCTCACCACATTGCCCAGACTGGTCTCAAATTCCTGAGCTCAAGTGATTCCCCCAACCTTGGCCTCCCAAAGTGCTGGAATTACAGGTATGAGCCACCGTGCCTGGCCTCCAACACATATATTTTAAAAGGAGATAATTGTCTTCTTTGGAAGAGTTTAAGGTTTTTTCCCCCCTTAAATGTACTGAAAGCACATCTCTATCACTAATAGCTGACTGAAATTTTAATTCAAAACCCGTGAACCTGAATGCTTCCCAAAGAAAATAATACCAGATAAAGCAAAGGTACTCACGGATCAAACTCATGAATAACACTTTCAAATCTCAAGACAGCAAAGAGACGAGTGGAGAAAGCTGCAAAAAACCAGAGAATTAATATTTTATTGGTATTGTGCCATGGAAGAGCAGCAGATAGAGTATTATAATGAAGACAGTATTATGCAGTAGAGAGATCACAGAAAATATAAAATAATCCCTGAATAAAGTCTTTATCCATCTCTTCCCACATATAAGAAACAAAAAAAGTTTACTTTCCCCTGATAATGGCATCTACATTTTCCACTTTCACAGGTCACAGTTAACTAATTATAAAAGCCTGTAACATTACATTCACCTACCAAACTCAACTTACATGGTCATCTTTTACATACGTTGACTCCCCCACCATACACACACAACAAACCTTAACCTTGGAGCAAAGAGGTATGGCAAGCAAGTCCTATACCTAGGACTCATGAAGAGCCAGAAAATCTAAAAAACAGAGTAACCACTCAAGAGACTTTCAAAAATACTAAAGGAGGCACCTAAACTGAAGAGAATTATCTTTTACAAAAATCAGTTATCCAAGGGTCCGCAATATCTCTTCCAGCCCTATGAGAAAACAGAATTGGCACAGCATGTTTCCCTTTCTTTCACAGACGATCATAGCCCTGATCTTTTTTTTTTTGAGAGAGAGCCGCAATCTGTCACCCATGATGTAGTGCAGTGGTGCAGTCTCTGCTCACTGCAACCTCTGCCTCCCAGGTTCAAGTGATTCTCGTGCCTCAGCCACCCAAGTAGCTGGGGTTATGGGCATCCACCACCACACCCAACTAATTTTTGTATTTTTCCAGGGTATCACCATGTTGGCCAGGTTGGTCTGTGACTCCCAGCCTCAAGTGATCTACCCACCCCAGGGTCCCAAAGTGCTGGGATTACAGGAGTGAGCCACTGTGCCTGGCCATAGCCCTGACTTTTATATTCCTTTTACTTTATTTTGCCTTCATAAAATTATACTGATGAGGAATGGAAAAACATAACAATCTGCTAAAAAGAACAAGGCATTTTAAGATAGCCATTTTCAATGTTTTTCTAGACTTTCTCCTTTCTATCCCCAAAGAAAGAGAGATTTATGTGCACACTCACATAATACAGCAGCCATTGACAGAATGAGAAGCTTCAGAAGTGTGTCCTGCTTCTCATAGGACAATCGCAAAAATCCAAGCTTAGTCATCTTGACATGAATGGGTGGCAACAGACGACAATCAGCTAAAATGAAAAAGTCAAGACCACAGGATATTGAACACCTTCAATTTACTTCATTAACTTTCATATTTTATGACGAAAGGGAAACATAAAGGACATAGAAGCTAGCAAAAACACCAGAAAGGGTCAAGGCTAATGCTAATATCCAACTCTGGCTTAAAGTTTTATCAACCTGTAAGGAATTAGGCAAAAGTCAAGTCTATGTGTCAAGTCTAAAATGGAGTGGTCAGAATAAACCACTCATAATTCTATTTCCCAATCTTTCACAGCTAACAAGTACATAAGCACTATTAGCAACAGAATAGTACAACAAGGAAGAGATGAAAATATAAATAGAAATGATTGGAAATACTGAAAAATAATAAAATGGAGAAAGAGAGCACTCAGGAAAAGGCAGGATTCTATGGGGATGGGGGAAGCAGGAAATGAACACTAAGACCAGATGTGAAAGCCCCAGCACTTTGGGAGGCCAAGGAGGGAGGATTGCTTGAAGCCAGGAGTTCAAGACCAATCTGAGCGACAGGGCGAAAACCCACCTCCACAAAAAATTGTTTAAAATTATGCAGGCTTGGTGGCTTGTACCTGCAGTCCCAGCTACTCAGGAGGCTGAGGCAGGAGTTGGAGGCTGCAGTGGGCTATGATCACACCACTGCACTTCAGCCTAGGCAACAGAGCCAGAATTCATCTCTTTAAAAAAGGAGGGGGTGGGGGGGAAGAAGGGAAAGCAATAAGGAAAAATAGAAGTCACCACTGGAATCAGCACAATATCCTGCCCTAAATTTAAACTTCAACTGAATGGCTATAAACTTTTTTCTTTTCCAAATCCCAATTGGGCTGTCAGGTCAACTGAGAGCATGACTGATAACTAATGAAGGAAAAATCATTCACTCAAGAAGAGGAGGTACATACACACAGATCCACTGTGCTCTCAATCGCATATATCACACTAACTACTGCTCAGATCTAAATCCGCTTTCAATCACCTGTCCCAAGGCATCTCTGTAACTGACAATGCTGATTTAAGAGACTGATTCAATTAGACAGTTTGATGGCACCAGATGATAATCTAGAGGGAAAGAAAATGAATTTTTCCTACTGAAGCAGAAGAATGGGGGAAAAAAGTAGATTAGAATGTTCAGGGACACTATCTGTAGGCAGTACAAAATGGAAATCACATGATGGTTAAGAATTATTCATATAGCACTAATCTACCATAGGTTATTCCTGAATAAGACAGTACTACCACCTTCTTAAATCATCATTCAAGAATTTTTTTGCTTTATTCTTTTTGACACATAATTGTGCATATTTATGGAGTAGAATGTGACATTTTGGTACATGTATATCATGTATGATAATCAGGTCACGATAATTAGTAGATTCATCACCTCAAACACTTATTGTTTTGTTGTCTTAGGAATATTCAAAATCCACTCTTCCAGTTATCTGAAAATATATAATAAATTGTGTATTTTTGTTGTTAATTATACTCCTAATCATAGTTATCCTATAGAACACTAGAATTTATTCCTCCTATCTAGTTGTACTTGTGTATCTCTTAACAAACCTTTGTCTATCCTCTCCCACGAATCTTTTCCCCAGTATTATTGGAATAAAGGAGAAAAAAAATATAAAAACAAAACCAAAAACACTGGACCAGGTGGAAGGCATAAATAATGCAAGCCCCAACACTGAAAAGTCAAGTATGTTCTCCATAATTAACTGTCCCAGAAGAGCAGATTTAGAAATGTGTTTAAGTATAGTCCCAAAGGGAAACATTGTTTTGCAATCAAAAACGGGAGGTCAACAATTCAGCCATATCTCTCAGGGTTTGCAGCTGTTTTCTGGAATGCCTGAAATAGGAACAAACTTGACACCAATGTGTCGATATGAGCCACACACCAAAATGAGACTGCTAAGATCTCTACTTGAAAACTGAGTAAAGTAGCTGGTCATTTCGGGCAGGACCGTAAGGGAGATTTCATTTCGTGCTCTTTGGTCACTTTGGCACAGCGCCAAAACAAATAAGAGCAAAGACACCTTTCTTAAAACACTTACCATCTCCGTTCCTCTTCAACTGTGCCCTGCAAGCTGGGGCATCTCCTGCCACCGTAGCTCTAGTTTCCCAGACTGCAATTTCCCCAGCCACGTTTTCCTACACACGTTTCCATACTCTCTCACAATGCTTTACTATCCTCTCCCTCCCGCTCTCTCTAGCGGATCCCACCTCCCTCTTCTTCCCACCCTCAAAGAACTGAATCCCTCTGATACCCACCAGCGCGGGGCCCTCATCACCCCAGCATTCTACGCGCCTTCCCCTCCAGAACTAGTCCCGGGACCCAGTCTTTCCCACGCTCTGTCCCCAAGATCCACCTTACTCTCCCTCACCAAACCTTCACATCCTTCCATGCAGGAAGCCCCCACACCACACACCACGCCCCACGCCCCACGCCGCACGCCCCCTCCTCTGCAAGGCCCTAAGCTCTGCTCTCCACCCTCATTTAGAGTTTTGCTTCCTGCACTTCGTTCAGTCCCACCAACGCCATGGACTGCACCTGCTACTGATTTTCAAGTTAGGTTCTACGGCTTTCTCACCTGGACGGCTTTACTAAGCGATCCGCTGGGCTCCCTCGGCCATCCGTTCAGCGACGCACCCAACCCTGGCAGCAAACGGATCCGCCTCCCGGACCGCCTCCCCGTTGGCTGGCTCCCGGCCAATACGACGCTTCGGGAGAGCGATAGGATCGCGGAACTGTCTGTCAAAGGAGGAGGCGTAAACCAAGCAGCAAATCCAGTTGTTAATTGGTCATTACAGCTATCATTTAGCATTCTAGAGGCGGGTCTGTGTGCTCCTGCCGGGCTATCATAGGCCGGCGCATCGGAGTCAGGAGCGCGGAAAGAACATGGCCCCAAGCAGTTTGGTTGAGGGCCGAGGAGTGACGTGTCGGTCGGCGGAACCACGGGGAGTCGCGGTGGAAAGGCGTAGGCCGCTGACTCCCGTCACGTGACAAGAAGCGGAAACTACACCGAAATATGCCCACTCTACAAGTTCCAGAAAGTGGAAATGCGGAGCTGCTGGTTTCCGTGTTTTTTAAGTTAGAAATTGTTACCTAATACAAGGTGAAAGGAGAGGAGGGAAGTATTTTCTGCCTACTTATTCTCAATTTAAACTCAAACGCTTCCTGGTCCAGACCTTTCCGTCTTTTGCAGGATGTGCTTGATAATTATATAAGCTCAAGAGCTTTTATTGTTGTTTGGTAACTGCGATGCACCTGGGAACCTTGACAGAGTTACAGGGCATGGCCCTTTCTTCAGCCCCTGGCTTTGTGAAAGAGCGTGCCTAGGCCTAAAGGGGTTACCGGGGCTCAGCTGGAAGCATCTCCACTGCTAGCTGAGACAGCCACCGCCGCGGAGGCACAGCCCTCCCAAACAGCAGGCGGGCTTCCTCGGGGGACCAGTAGGCAGCCTGGCCATGCCTTAGCAGCCCTTTGTAAGATTCTGCCAGAGAGCCGCTCTCCCTATCCTAACATGCCTCTCTTCTCCCGCACCCTACGGCCCCCCGCCCCTAATAGCGTTGCAGAGGGCAAAGAAGGGGACGAGGTTTCAGCAGCAATTCCATCATCTCAGACTCGCAACGTACACACATACATCCTCATGCACTTCCACTCCCTGCGCGCCTCGGTGAGCCAAGGCTACACCAGAGAGTGGGAACGTCCCGCAGCTCTTCGAACTTGTTGCCACTGCCACTCCCACAGCTTCCTATTTATTCTCCCACGAAGGGAACCCACCGTTTATTGAAATGTCATTATTTAAACCAGTGCTTCAGAAACACATGTACTTTTTTCAAATATTACATGACCAGGCTCCCCTCAGGACGTTATACTTCAATAGATCTGCTTTTTTGTTTTGTTTTTAATAGTAAGTGTCGCAAAAGGAAACAAGCTGAGCCTGAAGGAATTACAGAACTTGAAGTAAATGCTTCTTCGAAACAAGAGTTTTTTCCTCTTAAAAAAAAAAAAAAAAAAAAAAGGCGGGATGGGGGGGCGGGATTAAAATTAGAAAGACTGTGTTAAAGTTTTTTTTCTTTTTTCTTTTTTTTGGGGGGGCACTACCTTAAAATACTGAGGCCAGGCATGGTGGCTCAAGCCTGTAATCCCAACACTTTGGGAGGCCGAGGCAGGTAGGTCACCTGAGGTCAGGAGTTTAAGAACAGCCTGGCCAACATGGTGAAACCATGTCTCTACTAAAAATACAAAAATTAGCTAGGCATGGTGGCGGGCGCTTGTAATCCCAGCTACTCGGGAGGCTGAGGCAGGAGAATCGCTTGAACCCGGGAGGCGGAGGTTGCAGTGAACCAAGATCGTGCTATTGCACTACAGCCTGGGTGACAGAGACTCGGTCTCAAAAAAAAAAAAAAAAAAAAAAAGTATTAAAAAGTATTAAACATGTTTCTTAAAGAGAATACATTTAAGCTTCCAAGTGATGAAATTAAGTCAACCTTTTTAGAAGTCAAAATGATGTGTGAGCAAAGTTTGAAAATCAAAGCTTATTTTTAGCATGGGTCTTTGATACCAGTCCATGGGGAAAGGCTTATTTATGAATAAAATCAAAGGAAAACAAACTCATTGGAAAATCATTATAATTATTATAAACAAACCTTGAGAGCCAGGTGTGGTGGCTCAGGATTGTAATCTCAGCACTTTGGGAGGTTGAGACAAGAGGATGGTTTGAGGTCAGGGGTTTGAGACTAGCCTGGGCAACATGGCGAGATGCAGTATCTACAAAAAGTATTTTAAAAATTAGCTGGACGTGGTCTTGTAATCTCAACTACTGAGGTGGCTGAGGCAGGAGGATCAGTTGAGCCCAGAAGTTAGGCAGCAGTGAGCTATGATCATACCACTTTACTCCAGCCTGAGTGACAGAGCTAGAAAGACCCTGTCTCTAAAATAAAATAAAATAAATAAACCTAGAGTTTATACATGAATTTAGTGTATCAGTTAATCCTCCTTCCTGATTTATAAGACCAGAAGTTTTGAATTGTTCGTTTCAGAAAGCAGTGCTTTTACTATTTCATCAGTTGCATAAAAGGAATGTTTTGATGTAGAAGTTAGAACTTTCTGGAAAAGCTTTTGGTCTTTCCTGAAGTATCAGTTAACCTTTCTTCTGTATCATTGATCAAAAGAAACTCATGCCTTCATCTCATCTGTAGCACACCAGAGTAATATGTATCCTTGAATCTGTTTTCTCCAGAACCCACGTTTCTAAGTGTGTGCAAAGCTGTATTGCTGGGATTTCCAACGAATGCACTTGTGGATTCCACTGCTGCATGTTGTTTGGTTGGGTGTTTTGTCTTAATAAGACTTTTTTTTCATAGTTTGTCATCTGATAAGACATCTATTTCTTGGAATTTTTTCATTTTTGATGGATTTTTTTCAAGTAAGTGTTTTAGAAAAGCTGAATGGAAGCAAACATTGCCTTTTCGTGTTAGAAAATATCTGCATTTTGTCCTTGATAAATAGCATGGCTAGGTTTAGAAGTTGAGGAACAATATTGGGACCCACCCACCCCACCCCTTATGCACAGACACATAAAAGCACACTTTCAAGGCATTATGACTTTATTGTCTGATCCAGCGTTGTCTTATGAAGCCTGATGCCAATCTGAGTCACATTCCTTTACGGGTAATCTATTTCCCTCTCAGATAAATTGTCTTTCCTTAGAGATTTCATCTATGTGTTTAGTCTTTTTTCATTTTTTCTGCTTTACATTTGGCAGGCCCTTTCAGTCTGAAAACTACAATTTGTATCATCAGTTTAGGAAATGTTCTTTGATTTTATTTGTCTCCATTTTTCTATTCTCATTTTCTGAAGTTGCTATTGGACAAATGTTTTATCTCCTGGCTTTTGGATACCTCTACCATTCTTAACTTTTTCTTGATCTTTTTGCTATATGTTCTGGAAGATTTCCTCAGTATTATCTTGCAGTTCACTAATTTATCCTCTTCAATGTCACTTTTTTTTCCCTTGAGACAAGGTCTCACTCCTACCAGGCTGGAGTGCAGTGGCACAATCTCAGCTCACTGCATCCTCAACCTCCTCGGCTCAAATGATCCTCCTGCCTCAGCCCTCGAATAGCGGGGGACACAGGCGCAAGCCACCACACCCAGCTAATTTTTCTATTTTTGTAGAGACAGGGTTTCACCATGTTGTCCAGGCTGGTCTTGAACTCCTGAGCTCACACAATCCACCCTCCTCAGCTTCCCAAAGTGCTGGGATTACAGGTATGAACATGACACACCTGGCCAGGGTCACTTTTATAAACCATCTCATTTTTTAAAATTTCCATAACTGCTTTAATTTCCAAGAGTGTTCCTATTCTGTTCTTTTCACAATAATCTGTTCTTACCTTATGGATGCAGTAGCTTCTGAAATGTCTATGAAAATTATTAGAATTCTAAAGTTATTAGAATTTCTTAAATTACAGCCGGTCAAGGGGGCTCACGCCTGTAATCCCAGCACTTTGAGAGGCCAAGGCAGGTGGATCACAAGGTCAGGGGATTGAGACCATTCTGGCTAACATGGTGAAACCCTGTACTAAAATACAATATTTTAGTATTTTTTTGTACTAAAAATACAAAAAATTAGCTGGGCGTGGTGGTATGTGACTGCAGTCCCAGCTACTCAGGAAGCTAAGGCAGAACTGCTTGAAGCTGGGAGGTGGAGGTTGCAGTGAGCCGTAATCATGCCACTGCACCCCAGCCTGGGCAACAGAGCAAGACTCCGTCTCAAAAAAAAAAAAATCTTAAGTTACCTTTTGTTTCCATAATTATGTAAATTTCCTGCAGGGCCAGGTGCTGTTGTTTTGGAAAAGCTGCTGAAATGATTCCAATGTTGATTCCTCGTGAAGAGGAATAGTTAGAGGAACTTACCTAAATGATGAAGTGGTCTTTTTTTCTTCTTAGGTCTCAAAGCAGTACAGAATATTTACATTTGAAATCAGAATGAGTACAAGGAAAGGCTGAACATATGGCCTGACCTGCTCATCTTACTCAAAGATTATCTGAATTCCAGTGTTCTATCCAGCTTTGAGATCTATGGAAAAATAGCTGATTATATAATTCTTAAATTTTTTTGCATGTTCATTTGCTTGTCTCTCACTGGACTGTCAGGTCCTAGATGGCAGTAATCATATCTTTCTGGTTCACCCTTCAGTCCCCAGTCTCTTGCTGAGTACCTGACAGAGTTGGTGCTCAAATACTTGTTACATGATTAAGTCATAGTTCCCCCACTTGATTCTTCAGTGGTTCTGCACTCATTTGAGGTCCATCTAAAATTTGTACTGGTGAATGGCTCTCATTGTTACAGAGGTGTAAATTACACTGACCGAAAGTCAGCTTCCTTTTAACTCCTTTAGGTTATACAGCTTAGGCAGAATAGTTTTGAATTTTTTTTTTTTTTTGAGACAGTCTTGCCCTGTCACCCAGGCTGGAGTACAGTGGCATGATTTCGGCTCACTGCAACCTCTGCCTCCTGGGTTCAAGTGATTCTTCTGCCTCAGCCTCCCCAGTATCTGGATTACAGGCGTGAACCACTATGCCCGGCTAATGTTTTTTTTTGTATTTTTAGTAGAGATGGGGTTTCACCATGTTGGCCAGGCTGGTCTTGAACTCCCAACCTCAGGTGCTCCACCTGCCTTGGCCTCCCAAAGTGCTGGCATTACAGGCATGAGCCACTGCCCCCAGCGACAT